GACTTTAACGTCCATCACGCCTAATGGCTTGGTTCACGTTTAGCCAATCATGCGGGAATATGTGATCATGATTTTACCTTGGCATATGGTCTGACACAACTGGTTACTTCACCCACGCGGATTTCAGATGTGGAGAATCACGCACCTTCCCTGTTGGACCTTCTGCTGACTCACCCGGACGGATATCAGATTTTTGTCGACGCCCCTTTAGGCTCTTCGGACCATTGTCTTGTCCAGAGTGTGGTGCCACTCACGCTGTTGCATGCTGTCAGCCGATTGGAATAGGATGCGATCTTTCTTTGGGGGCGGGTTTGCTTCTCGCCCAACGATCCCAACGTTGTTGCGGATTCTGTCGCTGATGTGATACGTCAGGGTATGGAACATTTTATTCCTTCCTCTGTGGTGCCCATCGGAAACAAATCTCAGCCATGGTTTGGTCGCTCCTGTAAAATAGCATTATGCTATAAACAGGAGTACTACCAAGCCTGGGCTGACACATCAACGTCCCGGGATGTAAACACCAGCGCTCTAAAAAAGTAATATAATTCCGCCTCCAGGTCCTTCAAAAGAGTCATTGCCAAGGCAAAGTCAGAGCAAATAGGCAGACATACAGGTTCGGCCGCACATGGAATACTGTTCCCATCTCTGGGCTGGAGCTCCCCAGTACCAGCTCCTTCTACTTGACCGCATCCAGCGCAGAACGGCTCGAATCGACGACCGAGTGCTTTCCGATCGGCTCGATTCACTGGCGCTGCAAAGAGATGTTGCATCTCTTTGCATTTTCTTTCGCATATACCATGGGGAGTGCTCTGAGGAATTGTTGGGATTAATCCCAGCCGCCAAATTACGTGAATGCACTACGCGACAAACATCCCGATACCATCTACACCATCTGGATGCTTGACGGTCTACCACTGTATGTTTCAGAAGGAGTTTTCTTCCGCGTACGACCTTTCTGTGAAATAGTTTACCACCGGCGATTTTTCCGGCCCGATACGACCTAGGGACCTTTAAGAAAAGAGCTTACCCCTTTCTAAAGGGCCGGCAACGCACCTGCAATTCCCTTGGTGTTGCGGTTGATCATGGGCGGCGGTAGTCACTTAACATCAGGTAAGCCGCATGCTCATTTGCCCCCTCTTCTATTAAAAAAAAACCTACGATTTTCCGACGATATAGTTCTTATGGCAGATTCACTGGAGGACCTAAGCACTATGCTCAATGACCTCAATAGTGTCTCCCAACGGATAGCTCTTAAGATGAACATGGACAAAATGAAAGTCATGTGTAATCTCCATGTCACACCTACGCCGGTGGTTGTTGGAATGTCTAAGCTCGAAGTTGTTGATGAGTGTGTTTATCTGAGACAAGTGATTCGACTAGGTAAGTCTAACTTCGTCTGAGAGGTCAATAGACTGATTCAACTCGGCTGGACAGCGTCCGGAAGATTGCGACTCATCTTCTCGTCAGGCATACCTCAAAACCTTAAAACTAGATTGTACAACCAGTGTGTGTTGCCAGTGATGACCTATGGATCTGAGATGTAGTCCTTCACTGCCGGCCGTATGAGGAAGCTCAAAGTCGTATGGCGAGCTACGGTAAGGGGGTATGCTCGGAGTTTCTCTGAATGATAAACTTAGAAATGCGGATATCCGCAGTGGAACCAGAGTGACTGACATATCCCAACGAATTATTTTAGTAATGTAAAGAATAAATGAAATGGCGATGGGCCAGCCACAGCTCGAAGAATCTCGAGTGGCAGCCTCGTACCGGCAGGTGAAGTTTAGGGCGTCCCCCCTCTAGATGGAGTGACGACATGGTAAGACATGCAGAAAGTCGATGAATACATGTAGCTCAGGACTGTGACTTGTGGCATCTCTTGGGGTGGTCTATATATATACAACGTGTCCCAAAATTCAACGATAAGCCAACACCGGAGGATAGACCTGCCCCGGACTAATCGGGGAAAAAAAAGAAAAAAATATATATCCCAATTATATTTTAAGTTATATAAAAAAAATGAAATTCTTCAGAAATTGAGATCGTTTATGATATTTTTCACTACCATGACCACAATTTTTTTTAATATTTGTTTCTTTTTTTTTATAGGCAACCTGAGTAGCACTGCTATCTACCACAATTCTTAAAAAAATCCAGAATAACTCTTGTTTTATCACGAAAATTAATGAAACTTATTTTATTCCCTAAATTTTTTGAAGACTTTTACTTTTAACCAAATTTAACTTATCGTGGTGTAAAAAAAGTATGAACACTAGTATGGCAAGTTTTTTTTAAAAATTGACGCAACTAACCAACATTCCAAAATGGTATAATACTCTAGGAAAACAAGTTATAAAAAAATATGGGTCTATTATTTCTTAACAGGGGCCAAATTCCTTAAATTGTAATTGTCAGTAATCACTTTTACTACATGCCCAAAATGGGTTCTTGTTACAATTTGTAGGAATTTTAATGGGGCATACATACCTCAGATGTTAGAGAGATAGATAGATAGAGATATTTACGTTAAAAAGAGACAACAACAGGGCAGGTAGAGAAAATGTTATTATTCTCAGCAAGTCAGTTCAGTACGCTCTGCTCGTTTGTTTACTGCGCACCGTTCCTAATTCAACTTACGTGGCTCTCGTACATACTATCGACTTTTGGTTTGGCTTTTTGGACTGGAATCGACCTGCAAACTTAACTGGCCTGGCATTATTTGGACGTTTCGGGATTCCTGTTGCTTCTTCTATGGCACGTACCGAAGTAGTCGAATCATTTTCTATCTCATTGAGAACTTCTTCATCACGATCCAATCTAGGTCTTCCAGCGCTTCTCCTATTGGATGGCATACGAACCTCCGAAAACGCTTGATGCATATTAATAAACATTCGATAGTCAGGATATCTTTGAGCATTTGGGTATCTTTCTCGATACAGTCTGCTAGCAGCGTTAGCATTACATTGGCATTCTCCATAGATTAAATGCATATTAGCGTATTCCTGTGGTGTGTACGGTTGCGGCATGTTAAACGCCAAACAGTCCAAAATGCGCCAGAACTCTAAATCACAAAACACACAATCGTAGTCCAAGATAATGCCAGGTCAGTTCAGTTTGCAGATCACTTCTAGGCCAGTTAAGTTTGCAGGTCGATTCCAGTCCAAAAAGCCAAGCCAAAAGTCGATAGTATGTACGAGAGCCACGTAAGTTGAATTGGGAACGGTGCGCAGTAAACAAACGAGCAGAGCGTACTGAACTGACTTGCTGAGAATAATAACAGCTTCTCTACCTGCCCTGTTGTTGTCTCTTTTTAACGTAAATATCTCTATCTATCTATCTCTCTAACATCTAGGGTATGTATGCCCCATTAAAATTCCTACAAATTGTCACAAGAACCCATTTTGGGCATGTAGTAAAAGTGATTACTGACAATTACAATTTAAGGAATTTGGCCCCTGTTAAGAAATAATAGACCCATATTTTTTTATAACTTGTTTTCCTAGAGTATTATACCATTTTGGAATGTTGGTTAGTTGCGTCAATTTTTAAAAAAACTTGCCATACTAGTGTTCATACTTTTTTTACACCACGATAAGTTAAATTTGGTTAAAAGTAAAAGTCTTCAAAAAATTTAGGGAATAAAATAAGTTTCATTAATTTTCGTGATAAAACAAGAGTTATTCTGGATTTTTTAAGAATTGTGGTAGATAGCAGTGCTATTCAGGTTGCCTATAAAAAAAAAAGAAACAAATATTAAAAAAAATTGTGGTCATGGTAGTGAAAAATATCATAAACGGTCTCAATTTCTGAAGAATTTCATTTTTTTTATATAACTTAAAATATAATTAGGATGTATTTTTTTCTTTTTTCCCCGATTAGTCCGGGGTAGGTCTATCCTCCGGTGTTGGCTTATCGTTGAATTTTGGGACACGTTGTATATATATATATATATATATATATTAGTGTACGCCTAGGATAAGACTATTATTTGTTTGTATGTATTTAAACTAAAAAAAATTTATATTATGTTTGTAAGTGAATTGTTGTAAATTCTTATAAGAAATAAGTTATCTCAAACCTTAAATAAAGTAAAAAATTGGCTTTCAATAAGAACTTGTTACTTCTAATCTATATATTGATTAATATTCTTTTCTATCTTAATCGATTATCTTCAAAAAGGCAAAACCATTATGGGGGCATACAACGCATCATTACTTGACAAACTGAAGGCAGAAATTGCGGAAAAACGGCCACATTTGCAGAAAAAGAAAATCCTGTTTCACCATGACAACGTGCTATCTCACACCTCAGCGGTTGCCATAACGATAATCTACGAATCACGGTTTAAAGTACTTGAACATCCGCCATACTCACCAGATCTAGCCCCAAATAACTTCTTTTTGTTCCCTTATCTAAATGTTACGCTCGGAGGACAGGGATTTTCGTCAAATAAGGAGACAATTACCTTCGTGAACAAATTTTGCAGAAAAAAGTTCCAGACCAGCACAGACCAGTTTAAAGTTTTAAATCAAGAAAGAATTAGGGAAAAAGTAAAGTGAAAGTAGTTTATTATCACATTTCCAAGGGGCAGTTACGAGTAATTGCTGTTTTATTTTACCAGTGTCTACCCCATAAGTAGGGAATTAAGATGATCCACAAAGTTTATGTCCGACGTCTAGACCGGGACCATTCACTGCGGCCTATAATCTCAGTCGTCAACTACTTTCTTTTGATAGAGTTAAGGTTCTGTGTTGGACGTCTTATCAGGGGTCACGGGGTCACGCCCACCGCGTTGCTTCCCGAACCCAACGAGGTGTGGCAAAGAATAGGGGGCCAGAACTGGTTGATCTCTGTTAGAGCGTGAGATCAAAAGCAAGGCCATTTGTTTCAGCTACAGATATATGCACATCTTAAAATAAAAGATCTCTTTTATAATTCAATATTTTATTAAATTAACAAAGAAGTGATAATCATTGCTACTTTTTTTCATTGCTGCATAAACTTTAAAGTTCGACACCAATTTGTTCCTTAATCCAGTCTCTGTACTTGGCAGGGTTCACGAAAACTGTTAAAAGAAAACTTGTGAGTGAAGTAATAATATCAACAAACATAGCTGGGCAGTAGATGGTCAATCGTGAATGATTCGTTCTTTTGACTCGGGTTGCATTTAAAGTTGCATGTATTGAACGATCCTAATGATTGACAGGACCTACGACCAAAGAGTTTAGTAATGTCTGACGACTGATATTATCGAGCGAGTCTCACAGATCACAGAGTACTTTAACTCGAAATGAGTCATTTAAATGAGCGTACCCGAATGACCCGGTTCATAAGACTAATCAACCCAACTACCATAATACTTGTTGCCGAACTTCACAAGCCCTTGTTTTTTTTTCTCAGACATGAAGAATTTCTTATGATGCTCTTCTTCATCATCGAGATAACTCAACACTAAACTGTAATTAACAAGTTCATTGGTACCGGTGTAGCGAGAAGAGGAAATGGTTTCCTCGCGTGCGACGTTATTTAAGCGTGAGATACCATGGTCTTAAAATATTAAGAAAAAAGTTCATCATTTATTCCAATACAGCTTCTTCAAAGTCCACTGCTGAAAAAAACCATAACTCCTCCTCATAGGGGGGATTTCACCAATGGTGCTAGGCTTGGCAGGATAGTTGGCAACCGCAGTTTTTATATTTTCTGTATAAGTTCCCAGCTGTCGCCTCTTAAGACACCCGAGGGACGATATGGATTAGTAGATATACTTACACCGCCATTAAACGGTCATAACAGTTTAAAAAATAAATATAATTGAATTTACCAGCACTGTGCGATCTTCCTATCGGAATCGAGAGGATACCGATCTGGACACCATTGCTCACGAGGGGTGCACCGATATCATGCTGAAAGAAAATAATAATTAAAATATTTCTGACCTTCACACATAGATCCTTGTATGTGGATAGATTGATTTTTATGCTACATGAATAACCATTCAACATTCGTGTCTGGTGTCAAATATTCCTACGCATTTAGTTGCGATATTCGATTCTTATGAGATATCGACATCTATTCTTTAGAAGCGGTAATCATTTAATAAACCTTCAGAGATACATCTATAAATGTGGGTAGATTGATTTTCATGCTACATAAATTATCGTTTTTATCATTTTTGTTTGTCTCTCTGTTCGGGCTAATCTTCGAAATTGCTAAACTAATCGTTATGAAACTTGACGAATTGATAGAGAGCAATGCCAAAAGTGATCTAGCTTATATTTTATCCCAAAAAACTTAAGATTTTTCAAGACATTGAAAAATTCATGTATTGTCAAATGATCTTTGATGATTACTTTAAATCTTAATTATGCCAAATGAATAAATCCTACCTAAGCGAAGTTGGGCAGGTCGCTAGTATATGTATTTAGTCAGGTCATAAGTTCTGTCAAAAACTTTTTGTAAAATTAACGATACACCTTTTGATAAATACATAGAAATTATATATATAATTTCTATTTATATATTTATATTTTATTTCATATGAAAGGAAAGGTAATTTAATTTAGAATACAATTTTATTTACATTATTCAAAATGATCGTCCTGTTTTTTCATCATTGTCATTTTGAATACTTGCCGTTAATCCACGCGGTCAATCATCAATCCGGGGGGGGGGGTACCCTTCCATACTTTAGATTGGGGTTCAATAATTTGCAAAGATACTAGTGCCATCTTGTACGATATCCGCATAAACTTTCGAAATTAAATTCTAAAAGGTGCGCTAGATGGCGACTACACCAATTCTGGTTATTCTCGAACTGGCAAGTAGCAACTTTATATGACATAATGGCTACCGGCGTCTGAGCAAGTTGTTGTTTTATTATAGTTTATAAGTGATTTTCGGTTGTTGCTACAATAAGTTTGGTTGAGTTGGGATTAGAACTCTGTTTCCTGTTGTCTGTTTAGATTTTCATGCTGGAACCACATTGTATGTTTGTGTAGTATTGTGCGAAATAGATGCTTTCATTTATGATTCCGGTAACCCGGTGGACATATTTAATTCGGCTTGGTGTTGTATTTTGCGGAATAAACACTTCTACATCGTGTATGTTAAAGATATATAACAAAAATAAATGTTAATATTAGTGTATAATACGTCTTTAATTCAACCCTTATCCCTTACCATACCCATACCCAGGGATAAGGATTTTAAGGGATATAAGCCTACCAGATTATCTTATAATCTGGTAGGCTTAAATCTGGACTAAAAGAGGGCCAGTTTTCATGTCCGATGAAGTCAATTCCATGGGCAGTCAACCAGTTTTGCGTGCTTCGTGCCCTATGAGCTGTTGCAAACTTGCAAAGTCCTGTTGGAATATCCAATGTCTGTTTTTGAACATTTTTTGAGAAAGAGGTTCCACTATGTTTGTTTGGACGGTATTTTGGTACACCTCGGCACTGGTTTTTACAACTTTTTCACAGAAAAACACCTCAGTTAAGCCTGAATATGAGATTCCAAGCCAAGCCATGAGTGACGAAGGATAATGTGCTCGTTTAATCCTCGGAATACGCGTGCTGGCTTCATCACTGCTGTGGGCATACTTACACCTTATTATTTTGTTTGTTATAACTTCCTTGGATGTTAAAAATTTTTTCATCAGAAAATAAAATTTCGCGGTAGTTTTTTCCAGCGTAACGCCGTAATAAAGCGCGGGATCTATCCAGCCTTATTTTTTTCAAACGCTCGTTGAAAAATGTCCGGTCTTCTAACAATAAGCAGTCCTAGGTGTTCATTGATCACTCTTTTCACCGTGGTTCTACTTAGGCCCATCTGAAGAGCTAAGGTTTTTTGTTTACCAACAGGATTTCGTTGGATTTGCGCCTTCACTGCTTCGATGATCGTGTGCGTCCTAACTGTACGAGGTCGGCCGGTTCTCTTACGATCTTCGAAGCTTGAATCATCAGTAAATCGTTTGATAGTGCTATTAACAAATCGTAGCTTTATTTTCAATTTTTGTAGAATATTGAAAATCTCTTTTGGCGCGTAACCACAGCGGTGTAACGCGATAACCGCTACTCTATCATAATTTCTATCTCGACCACTCCATATTTGTAAAATGAATGAAAATTAATGTCTTTTTTATTTTCGGCAAGCGCAAACGTTATATTTTTAAAATTGGTGATGTTCATCTAGCCAGTATTAAAAAACAAAATTTAATAATAAGGTTTTGACAGAACTTATGACCCAACTAAGTATATATATATATATATATATATATATGTATATATATATATATATATATACTTATACTTAGTCTTTACTTATACGTAGTAAAAAAGTAAAGTCCTATATACGTCCCACTGCTGGGCATAGGGCACCCCTCATTTCTGAGAGGATTTTCGGACAAGTAAGAGTTCGCCGCGCAACCCCAATGCAAGTTGGCGAACTTCACATTTCTTCGAAATATTTTTTCTTATTCTTCAGACGTGCATGGGGACATGATGTTTTCCTTCACCACCGAGTACCTTCAGCACTTTCACACACACGGCTATATATACCCGGTAGACGGGTACACAAGCAGTTTTTACCATTTTAAGCTGTAATAACAGATGCTGCCATCCATTTCCTCTGTCAGTTGCCTTGTTCACCTCTTGCGACACGCATGGAACGCCCCCATTACACTGCATCAGTTCACTTCAATGCTATTTTAAACTTACGTGGGTAGGCGTGACATCTTCACTAATACCCAAGATATTTCCATCTTCAAAAGGCTCCAAGACGATTTCCGGGCAGATTATCTGTTCTCCTGGATCTATTTAAAAACAAAATGCTGTTATAAATTGTGCAACATTTTAACTTATTCTATTTGCATTAATAATTTATGATTTTTATGTTATCAAAATCGTTACTTGAAAATTCTGTTAATGTTAATAATTTTATACGTTTTTAATTTTATCTACACTAATATCATAAAGAGGAAAGATTTGTTTGTTTGTTTGAATTTAATAGGCTCTGAAACTACTGAACCGATTTGAAAAATTCTTTCACCATTAGAATCCTACATTATTCCTGATGAACATAGGCGATAGAACGTTTTCAAAAAATTTAGGGATCCGTATGAAAACTTCGTTAATGTTTCAAAAAAACCTTATATCGCGTACGCTGCGGAAACTATTGACAATAGAGCAAAGTGATGTGCTACAGTTTTATGGAGGACATCAATATCTACATAAAAGTCTGCAATACCATATGTCTAACTATTATAGTTATCTCACAATAACTCATCTCAACTCAACTCAACTCATCAGTCATATCATGTCGCGCGGCAGAGACGCGTGATATACGCGGGTGAAACCGCGGGGTACAGCTAGTTACTCATATAATTGTTGACGTGATATAATTTAATTTGATACGACGATTATACAAATGTGACGTATAATATAATAACGGTGTACATTATATATTATTTATTTGGAAAACCAACAGCTTTAAAAAATTACATCAGATCGGATTATCTTAACATAAGCCTTATTACAGGTTTCCCTATATTATCTATTCAAAATTTCGAAGAAAGAGCGAATCTTCCTTCTCGGCACAAAAATAATAAGCAATGAATAACTATTTCGGCGGTACAACAATACACACTGTACATACAACAACATACTGTGTGTGCACGTGTATGTGTGTGTGTGTGTGTGTGTGTGTGTGTGTGTGTGTGTGTGTGTGGGCGTCTATGCGCGCGTGCGTGTGTGCGTATCTATAATATATCATATATATTATAAATATCCAGTCATGTGTGATTCCAAGCTGCGAGGCATTCCATTTCAGTGTTCAGAAGGGACAACGCATCTGTATCCTTCTTTGTTTGAAGTTAGCTGTGGGCGCCAACAGATTGCAGTAGCCCCTTACCAGCAACGTTACAGCCGATACCAAACATCCTACATACCACATACACACCAAACATCAAAAGTTACAGCCAATAAACATCACACTCCTAGGCACAGGCCTAAGGTCATTTCTCATAAAATTTTAGGACGAGGAAGTGTCCACAGCACTGCCTTAATGCGCGTTGGTGGACTTCATATATTCCTTGAAATGTTTTTTGTTAAATTTTCAAGTATAAAATAAATAGTTAACTGGCTCGACAGATAAGAAGCACGATGATTATTAGTGAAAACTCATAAATAAATATGTATTTAATTATATTAAAAGAAATAGAAAGGCACACGAAATACACAACTCACACGGAGAAGAAACGAAGTGTATAGTATAGTATACGCGCACACACACAAGGCTTTCGAGAGCGGTGACGTAAAGGGGGCGTACGGCATACGAGTTAAGTTGTTTAACATCAAAAAAAATTATATCATTACTTACTGTTGTCTTCGTCAGCTCCGTAACCACAGACTATACCTGTTGCTGGAACTTCATCATCGATGGAAGGCAAGGCAACGGCGTTGATGTTATCTGAAAAATAAAAATAAGTCGTTTTAAGTACCGCCCAGAGATGGGGTACTTAGATTTATGTGTATTCTTCAACCCAAGTTTCTCCGAATGCCGGCACCTTAGAGTACCACCTGGTGGTAAGTGGTTGTTGTGACCCGTAGACATCTACGTCTATCCTCAATTAAGGATCAAAATGCAGATGCGTTGTCATCCGTGAGGACTAAGATGGAATGTCGCTTTTCCAGTTGAGAGGGCCTCCAGTACTTTACACTCACTGTACGAAACACAGCAGTGTTAAGCTGCAATTTTACGCTCGTATTCTGTGAGAGCGTGGTCCTACCCCGGTTGAGCCAACACATTCGTGCTACAACTATACTACTAATATAACTGCAGCATGGCTCTACCACGTTTAATGTTATGTATTAAATTATGTATACTTTAAGGCCAGCATCAATAGTTAAGGTTATGCATTTTATCCACCACTGTAAAGACATCAAAATGCATGATGTCATAAAATGCTAATTTTTAATAGACACCACCATTCGACGGTGAAGAAAACATTTATTAACTTTCAAATAATGAGAAAGCCCACCAAGCGTGGTAACAATGGTCAATACAGGCTGTTTTACTCACAGAAATCGTATTAATAAGACAATAGAAGTCGCATAGATGCGTGACCTTGTCGCCGCTATGATGTGTTAACGAACATCATTCACCATTTTGTAATATAGTTGCGCGGTGAACCTCGTACGTGAATTTATGTTATTATAATTGTAAACTGCAGCATAATCATTAGTAAATCAAGGACGTGTAATTCAACTAATAAAGTCATAACATTTCGTCGGTAAGTTGATTATTTACTAATTATCATTGTTTTAACTAATTTACATCTAAATGAATACTTTACTGTGTTATTTACCTTTGTAAACTTTCATTTATTAGTTTTCGTGTTTACTTACCATTAATTACCATTGCTGCTTTAGTTCTTAAGTTAATGAACCTGAAGGAAGCGAAAGAGGTATGTAAGGATCGTGACACTTGGCGATCTGTTCTCTCTGGCTACCCCGTTAGGGATTGTGCGTGAAGATAAGTAAGTAAGTAAGTAGTTCTACCGTAATACGCGACGCACGCGATGTTGTCAAACTCGCAAAGCAATGTAATATGAAACATTAGATATCATTGTGTATTGCGTATGTTTATAATACGGCTGCAGGTATCGGTCGCTTAATGCGTATGTGTTAAGATGTGGCGACATCGGTTTTGTAAGTAATCGAGTGTTAATTCATTTCTATTGTCTTATTATTACTATTACTGTGGTTTTACTACACTCTCCCACCCACTAAGTGAGATAACTAAGGTAAATATCCCCCATATGAGTCAATCTATGGGGGAGACCTATGTCACAATACTACTTAATCATAGTTAAATAGTTTCTATATAGTGAAATAGCTATGTAATCAATTACGTCATAGAGTTTCGACGGTGTATTTATTCTTATCTTTCATATTGTATAACTTAATTTGAAAAAAAAAGTTCCGCTGGATTTCTTGCTGATCCTTCCCAGGACGGAGGTGTTTTTCCAAACTAGTGGTAAAAGTAAAAAATTACTCTTTTCGAATGAATTATTCTATTGTAGTCGCTTGTTACATAGTAAAATCAATTTACAATAAGGTAAAAGCACTCTTCTTAACTCGACTAATCAAAAGGCTACAGTGTATTTCATGAAAATTCTATCGCAAGGCTTGCCTTTATTAACTTAATTAACAAAGTACGGTTAATTGGCTGCCACTAACAAGCTGCGTGAAGTTGAAACGCAAAGTTTCAACAAGTCGATTACCAATCAACGTATATTTTTTAAATTGGCTTTTAATTAAAAATGATAATAAGTAGTCGTTTCTGCGAACAGGCTTATCCCGGTAAGCCTATCAGATTGTCGAATCATCTGTGACGGACTCAAATACAGAAGGCGGTGCTCCTTGATACCACCCGCATTGACCGCCGGTTTCTTTCCTTTTTTAACTGACTTCAAAAAAAGGAAGAGGTTCTCAATTCGACTGTGTTTTTTTGTGTGTTACCTCTGAATTTTTTTCTAGGTGAACCGATTTTGATGATTTTTTTATTTGTTTCATCTAGATCTGACCAGTAGTTTTTACATTATCCTTAAGAGTATTCCTTGAAAATGATACGTATTATGGGGGCGCAATTTGTGTTTTGGAGTGTCAAAATAAACATGATGCAATAACTTCATAATACGCAAATTATGAGATAGCTATACCGAGAACGTGCCCGAAAAAAAAAGTAAGCGCCAATAAAAATTTGTATAGGATAGTAACGTTATAAGATAGTAAAAGCTAACAACTTGTGCTTAAATTGTTTGAGTAACAAGCATCGTGTTGCCAACTGTAACTCTAGTTCAGTGAGTAATAAATGCCGCAGCAATCACTCAATGCTGCATTTTGAGAGTGGTGCCGCATCCGCGTAAAGTAAACCTGTAAGTGACGCCCTCCGCCTAGAGGTGCCAACAACAACGATTTATCTTCAATGAGTCGAATGGAGAAGATAACCATTTTTTGTTTTATATGCCAAAAAAATCTACAAAAAATTACGAGAATAACCGTGTTTTTAATTTTTTTCTATCTTCAAAACTGATCGAGATATAAAGGCGCAAAGTTAACATTTTCGGTCTAAGCCGCGGGCCGAGAGCGACATCGTTGATGACGTCCAATTTCCATCTTCGTGTGAGAGACCCGACGCGCACTTAGAAAATCAAAAGATTTACTCGAATGTGCCCGTCGCGCGCAGATTTACTTGCTATATATTTTTAACAAAAAACGTTATAGAACATGACACCATCTATTAAATATTGTGCTGCGTCTCAATGTAAAAATACGGCCACAAAAACACCTGAAGAGTTGTTTTTTAATGTGCCTAGAAACCCTACCCTCAGAAATAAATAGACAAATGTTATGAGAAGAGCACATCTTTTAGGACCAAACACGGTAGCATATTGTTGTTTGTGATCATTTCGATGTAAGTATTCAAATAATAATAATCTTCACATGATAGCTCTTGGTTATTGGTAGTAAATGCTTTCTATTAGGCATGTTGGTACCTACTCGAGTCGCAGTGTTTAAGTAACTAACGATTCATTGAAGCTTTCTACGCTTAATGATCATTATAATTTCAAGAAGAAAGAATACCTAATACCTACATATTTAACTAAAACTACTTCAGTGTAAATAAACATAAACTTGGGTAAAGATTACTATGTAATGTAGATAAGTCAATGACCTGTCGTGAGTTCGTAAGTTTAGATACCTACCTATGTTTGCAGCAAATTTTAAAATGTTTATAATGCATTAATATAAAGGTTAAAATATGGAATATGTTAACAAACGTTTTTATATTTTTACGAGCAAAAATTCGAGCAAAAACTAAACACATCGCAGAGCTGTTCAACCTGCATACTTTGCGGGCCGCAAATGATGGAAGAAGTTTGATTATGAAGTGGAGCACTGTTGTCCTATTTTTATGTATTACATAGTTGGTACATATTTTAAATATTGATGGAATACAAATTACGAGGTTCCTTATTTTTTTATAGATTTTAAATAAGTTTGTATTTTGTTCTAGGTCGAAAACGATATGGAAAACTACGTGAAGTACAAACTAGTTGGTGGTCTCCTCAAACTTAAGAAAGATGTTTAGCCTCACAAGTTTGCTTGTCAAAATCGGTGTACAGAAAAACCACAAAGATCTTTACTATCGAAACTAAATGCCAAATCTAGGTCAGAAACAGTTGCACATGCGATTGCCACTACTTCACAAGAAATTGAGCATAGATATGTCGTCGATCCTGTTACTACTCTAGATGATAATATTGACATTGATCCCTTGCCTGAAGAATATATAACTACGCTTTTAATCATAATAATAATGCGACCCTTTTTCTATTAATTTTGAAAACATCTGATTTTTAGATAAAATCATATTTTTATACACCGAAGGTATATTTGTAGTAAATTTCTTTATATACAACAGGATTTTTTTAACCATAAAAACCACAAAAAGGTCAGGGTGCACTTAAGAAGAATAAGAAAACAAAACTAGTTAGAGGCAGATAGTAAGTAGGTAGGTAAGGAATGTTCACGTATTTTTGTTATACTTATTCTTGTCATTAGCAAATAAAACCCAGAAGTATTAATGTAATAATGGGTACCTAGGTTATAAAATATTATCTTATGCGTATTTTAGCCGCGACAAAATCTTTGTTTCTTAGAAAATATTCCGCCACCATCATGTCACGGACTATTGGAAGGTTGTCAGATTGACCTTTTGAAACCCTTCTTCCATCATTGAATACTTAAAAACACCAGAGCGCACGACGGCAAACAACTCACCCGCGAAATATTACTACAAACATTGTATATTAATTCAATGACTACAAACGTATGATCGGCGCGCTGAAACGGTATGGCGGCGCGGCCGCATGGAATCTATGACGTCACGCGTTACTCGCGGGCACGGGCGAGATTTTAAAAATGTACGTAAACTTTCCACGCTTATAACTTCGGTAATAGTGCACCGATCGATGTGAAATAAAAACTAGAATTATGTGTTTGGTCTAGACATTTTACCTACGTACTTAAAAGTTTAATATTGTAACCTTGTTATCTTCTCCATTGTGCCAACGTTTCTCAATTGGCAACGCTACCCGCGCGCTCGGACGACGTTGCTTTGTACTTTCTGTCGAGTGTTAAAGAAATTGCTACCACTGTACTACTGGGTACCGCACGTGTAATAATTAGCGATTCGCGTGAAAACGAACTTAGCTTTAGTATGTTATTAGATAGTGCGTCGCAAAGTAATTTTATAACGCAGCAGTGTTGCCAACATTTGGGATTATTTGCAAATAAGACGCCTTCATTCCTCACTATCGGAGTGAAGGGAATTGGATGCTTTTCATTAGATCACCCAGCAACCCGTCAGGTGACAAATTCAATGTACGTGGAGAGGGACACGGGACTCGAGTCAATTTCATCAGCGGAAATGGGCGCAGCGTGAGGAGGGATCGCGAGCGCGGTGCGGGGCGAGATCGCGGCCGCGGTGCGCAGTGACGCCGAGCTGCTACTCCAGAAAGTGTGCCGCTTTGAGAGCGACGGGTTGGACCCGCTGAGGCAAATATTGCTTGGCGGTGCGAAATAATCGATTTCAATGTCACAACTGTAGCATCTTAACGCTACTAAATAATACTGTAAAATATCTTGGTGTACAATACCAGTGTAATACCCAGACTGGGAGCAGGCTCCATGGGCACAGCTATAACGTGTCACAAATACCACAAATGAGCAGCAGTGGATTTAAGCTTAAGAAGAAGAAAAAGCAAATGTAAACCAAACTAGCTATCCGCCCTGATCTTCTCAACCCATTTGCCAGCGCCATTTATCGGGTCCAATTGCGAATCAAAACCATCCAGGGTCAAACGCACACAAAAAGTCCCTTCAAAATCGATCCAACCATTAAGGGGAATTCAGTGTCAAAAACACATATACAGAAGTATTAAGAATATATAAAGATAGTACTCACCAGTATATCCAACAGCGCGGTTGATTGAAATAATAGCAATTTCGCCATTGGTACGCGCGATGGTAGTCTCCGTCACCAGTTCGGGGTTGATCACATTATCAGCGCCATAGCGGATCCAAACGAAGCGAACACTGACATACAGAATTTTCCATACGTATACATAAGTATATAATATACAGGGTTATTTTTTAAAGAGTAATCAAAGTTAAAACTTAGTCTCAAATATATAAATAATGATAAACCGTTATTGTAATTTTTGAAAATACGAGTAAATAAGACACAGTTATTTGAAATTATCCCGAATTGAATGTGATTTGTGGCCAACAACGTTTAAGAATGTGTGCGTGTGCAGTAAAATCAGTTAAAATAATGCATTACCACGCATTTTGAATTCAAAAGATAAAAAGGATAGAAAGCTCGAAACTTTTTTGTTAATATTTCTTCAGCATTTGCGTATATTACTTATTTCGAACTTTCTCTGCAAATTTGGCCAATTATTGCAATATAGGGTTATTTTAAAAGTGTAATAAAGTTGACAAACGAGCACACAGTTCACCTGCTGGTGAAAGATGCTGTGGCCAATAGACATCCATCACCGATAAAGAACCAAAATTACAGATGCGTTGTTTCCCCTGGGGACTAAGATGGAATGGCTCGTTACTAGTAAAAAAGGGTCATGATCACGCAGAAAATTATATAATTTACCCCAAGCATTCCCAAACTTTTTGAGCAAGAGACCCCTTTTCCAGAATAAACTGATACCTCGGACCCCATAGCCAAATTACTTTAAACATCCTAGTTCCAGTTTTTTTTCCTATTGATACAAAATACTTGTGCACGCTTATCGATTTATTGAGTTTTTTAAAAGTTTAACAATGATACTTCCTACTAAAATATTAGTCATTCTTATAACAAGTTCGTACACGTAACACAACTTAGACCGTATCTTGAAAGTTTCAAATAAGAACTTGTGTTAATTACCTCGTCGACCCCCAAAATTAGTTTCCGTTTATGTCGACCCTTGGGAAACCGATTTCTACCCAAGGACTCGATAATCGATATCGAACACTTTGGGAATCTCTAATCTACACGAACCCTCGACGAACGAATTCTGTGAGAGTGTGGTCGAGATTGGTCGAGCCGACCAATTCGTGTTACAACCATATCATAGCTGCAGCATAGCTCTACCACGTAAACACACTTCAGACATCATGTTTAAGGGAGTCACTTTCGTCTTCCGACACGTATCAGATGCCGCAGTAAATACTCGTATACATGTACATCTAAATTTGTCTAAATATAATATGTAAGTTACGTCTAGACAGGACTTTTGTAAGTATTGTAATACCTGTCCACATTTGATCTTCTACGTGTATCGTGTTTTCGTCGAGTAACACGGACGTGCCTTATAATCGTTAGTCTGGACACAATATTATAGGCGAACATGTGATACGCCATTGTGATACCGTATCTTATACACTTCGTATCGAATACACGTAGGTACTGTGATCGATAGTATGGACGTATTTTGATCTGTCACGATACAGCGATGTGGTACAAAACCTGATACGCCACGTCATATCTTTAATCTGTTTTGCATCAGTTTCAGTTTTGCAATCGCATAAAAAAATTGATATTATTTTGATCAATAAAGGGGATATTATACATACATATAGACTTTAGTGCGTAGCGGTGTATAATATGCATTTTAAGATATATAACACCTGATCAAAATACGTCAGGATGATCAAATGTGGACCTGGCCTAACATTTATCTTCGCCACTAATGTATTTTGTTTTTGCTTTCATGAAGTATTTCAATATGAATTCTACAAAAAACATTTTATGCATTAATGTAGTAGTGTAGCAATCTGTATTGAATAAAAGTTATTCTATGCTCTTCTAGGATAGAGTATAGTGAATTTATTTAAAATGTTAACAGGAAAAGACTTACTTTTCCATGCAACTGGCAGCGGTAAGCACCCAGCGGTTGTCAATGAGTGAGCCCACGCACGTTCTCAGATATCCACTCGTGGATACGGCAATACGGAGGTGCACTACCCATGGGTTCTCGGATGTGACGCCGCCGTGGCTAAAACATTTTTTAATTAGCTTAATGACGCTATTTATCTGACTGTGACGAAGCTACAAGAGGTTAACATTTTATTTATACAGGGTTATTTTTCAAAGAGTAGCCAAATTTTAAACTTAAGTTCAAATATATAAATAATAATTTAATAATATACCGTTACTGCAGTTTTTGAAAATAAAAGTAAATAAGACATTCTACGTTAAATGTATTTATATTATTTTTATTTGAGTTTATCCCAATTTAAATGTGATTTATGGGCAACAACGTTTTAGCTTACCGATAGACCGATACGAATATTTGCGTGCAAAGTAAAATCTGCTTACATAATGCATTACCACGCATTTTGAATTTAAAAGATAAAAACGACAGAATGTTTGAGGTTTGATAAATTTTTTTTCACCATTTGCCTATATTAGGTATTCTGAACCTTCTCTGCAAATTCAGCCGGTTATTGCAAAATAACCCTGTAACTACATTGCGACTTAGTACGCGTGGAATTGATTACGATTATTAATGGGTTTTCTTTTCTAAAAAAATCTAAGGTACCGCGCAAGTACCTTAGATTTTTTTTCTAAAATAAAAAAGTCTAAGTTACTCCTTATAATTATATTTTCACGGATAACACACTGTATGACGTCATCACAAATGTTCTCTATATTATCTTACGTTTTATCTTGACTTTGACTCGCCCCTCCTCGGCCGCGACTCTATTTATTTATGCGTCGTTAAGGTTACAAAGGTGGACTTAATGCCTTTTGGTATTCTCTCTCAGTCAACCCCGGGCGTAATGTAGTAGTAGTATACGTACTCGTATAATGGTAAGCGCGAAATGATGACAAAATCATTAGAAATAGAATAAAGAAAGTAACATTATTAATAATCACATACCAGTAAATATTATATGGGAAAATTAATAAAATAAAAAATGATATATAAACATAAACATGTTATTTAGCCATAATAGTTTATTGAGGCCAAAACATTTTTAAGGCAAATGTTTATCCTATGATCTACAAAAGTCAGTGGTTCTTACACTTTTAGCGATGAAGGACCATTTTAACCAATTTTTTATTTACCTTGGACCATCTAAAAGTTTTTGACATAATATAAATTATAGTTTGGTTAATTTTAATTGTTTTCTATAAATAAAACACCTTTTTTATATATATATATATATATATAATGTATAGTCGATAACATAATCTTCAAAAATTTGTTACATCGTTTTTTATAATTAAGAGACTTGTATGATGAATTCACGGACAATTTCGGTTCACTTCAGAATCGACCAGAGGTACACAAACCACTGATTAAGAACCACTGATTTAAGTAGTGGCTTAAGAATGAACGGAGGAGTAGTCGCGTACAGCAGCTGAGATGAGGAGGAGTACCAGCACCTTGAAGTCATGCGTTCCTGTCGTGCACCCAGCACTTAAGAGACCGGTTGTGTGGGATTTTTATCCAATAAAACCTCCTCTGGTTTTAGTTGATAAAAATCCCACACAACCGGTCTTACAACAACTTGACCGGTGTCTTTTTTAAGATATCCTCCTCTCTCTCTCTCTCTCTCTCTCTCTCTCTAATAAAAAAGTAGTGGCTGCTTTATCAAACGATTATAAACGTGGATTATTTAAACCGCGAATATAAATGTTAATAAGAAGTGTTATTCATAGTTTATACTCACTTTTCACGGCGGTGCTGCGAGCCTGAAAATGAAATCATAAAGTCGTTAAAACTTCAGCGTTGCAATATTCCATTAGAGATAATTAAATTTTTTATGATTTTTTAAATTTTCTTTTACTGGATACAAGGCATTCCATCTCAGTCCTCAGGGGTGACAACGAGTTCGCATTTTGATTCTTAGTCGAGGTTAGATGTACATGTCTATGGGCCATAGCTTATACTTACCATTAGGTGGACGTTGTACTCGTTTGTAACCCTTATTCTATAAAAATAAATCCTGGTAACAGGTGAACAAAAATTAAAAGTGCGGTGCCAAGCGTGGCAACTATGGCAAATATCCTTGTATGTCATTTAATCATATATGAACTATGGACTATGTTCAGCAGTATACTTTCGATAGGCCGTAAAGGTAAAGGATTATGTAAAGAAGTTGAGTATTATTCAGAAAAACGTTTATTAAATTCCTAAGAATACGAAAGGATTATTATAATTAATTAGAAAAATAAGATAAGATAAACGTCTCGCGACTTGATATTCAATCGGTCGATAAGTTTGATAACCAAATCGATGATCACGAACACATTACGTAAATAATTAATCGAGTGAAAAAATCTAAGCCAAGCCTGTCACAGGAAATAGCACAATGATAAAGTGAATACGATATTTTAATATGTTAATTATCAATATCCACGTTACGCTTTTGAGTTTTGAGGTTAGATGTAGAAAGGAGACAATAGTTTTTGGGCCTACTATAAATTTTAACGTAACTTAATTTTTAACACATAAAAAGATACCGATTTATTATAGTAAACGGCCTAAATATTTTAGGGTCATACTCAGAAAAGATGTACATTTGTTATCTTTTCTTGTCCCGCGAACTCATACTTTAATAAATATCTAATTTTATAAATATGATAAAAAACAATTCCCCTTGTTGATATGTTAGCCTCTTAATGTGAAGAATTTTTTGGTATTTTAACTTAAATTTTTAGTAAAGGCATAAATTTTTGGAGATCATTCTTTTTGTAAAAATGCTATCGAAAATTTTTTTAGCGTCCCAGTGACCATTTTATTTTTTCAGAGTCAAGTTGTTACAAACATTAATAAGCTTTGAATAATATGCTGCTGAATCAAGCATTTAAACTCGTCCTAATTCATTCGTAAGTCATTAAAAAAATTATTTATTTTGATTAAATTAATAATGTCCCAAAATTATAACGTTAAGTTACTCAGGTTTCGTAACGTGTAGTAAAATTAGGAACGCATTTATTTAAAAGAGTAGAAATATGTTTTTCTATTCCGGCAATACTAGTAACTACGTCAAAATTATTGCCGCCGCGGCCATTGAATTTTAGTCGCAACCGTGGACTCAAGATTTGTTATCACGTGAATATTCACAAAACCTATCTCAGGGTGATAAACAGCTATTATTTTGGAAAGTTTATTATCATTTTTGTTTACTAAATAAATCCTTTTATTATTTTTTGTAATATCATAACGAATACACTCGGTGTTTATTTGTGCAACACTTGGTTTACGTAAAAATAGTTTTAGAAGTAATAATTTCTCAGATTTTATTCTCAATTTCGTTATATTGCGTAACGTTACGAAACTGAGAAATTGTTAAGCTTAGTTCACATAAACAATTATGTATGTAATTATTTACTACTACTTAAATAACGTTTAATATGTCGTCATAATACGTCGTTGTGGTGTTTACTCTTTTCTAGCAGTTTTTTTCTTTACTGCAAATAAAACAAAGAAGTTAATAAAATCAATTTAATTAATAAATAAGTAAAACTAGTCTAATTTGTATTTATTTCAACAAAAGTTGTATTTTTCAAAAAAAAAAAAGAAAGAAGATTATGATAGAAAAATTAAAGGAAGAAAGAAGATTATGATAGAAAAAAAGTGTTGAAATGGAGGTAAAAAGAAAATCTAATTTTCAGGATATTCAGAAACAAAAATCATTTCTGAGAGGGTTTTAGGGCAAGAAAGTTTCTGCCGCGCTGCCCCAGTGCGTGTTGGCGAACTTCACGTCTTCGAAATATTTTTTTCCTACCCACGATAATATATATTTATTCAAAAATAATAATCATAATTATGCGAGTGACAATGACTCAAATTTTGATAGCTTTTAATAAATTATTAGACTTCATTTTGATCTCGTGAATATTCCTCCGACATCACGTTTCGTTTTTTATACTGAGGTATTTTTTGTATTAGGTTTTTAATGTGAAAAAATTAATATTTGTTAACATTCCATTTATTCCTAGTTTTTTATCTAATTCACCGATGTTAACTTTTTAGAAAATTATAATTTTGGTTAGTCTAAAGAAATGCAAAGTTGGCTGGCAATTAATTTTGTTTTTTGGGGGCCCTTTTTTTTTTTTTTGGGAAGTGTGTTGTTTTACTTTCCTTAAAAAAAAATAGGACTAATTAAACCAAACAAGTTTTGTAATTCATCTACAATATAATAATATATCAATCTATAATGTGTACTTAGTTTAATGTGTACTATACCTTATGAGATTAGTTTCGTTACGAATATTCTCAGTATCGTTACATATCAGTTTAGTTACAAAATTAAAATGTACACTTTTTCTGAGTATGACCCTTTATGGAAATCTAACCGGAATCATGAATTCTAAAAAAGGAAGCTGTTTTGATGTTCGTGTTCGGGCTAATGTAATATGAAAAATATGCGTGCAACGAAGAGCGAACTACTAAAAGGATTATCCATCAATCTTAAAGTACATCTAAATGCTGAATGTATCTTCAACTTTGAATACTATTTATTATTGACCAGTATTTATTTTAACTTATAAACCGGTGATAACTACTAGACAATCGCTTTTAGTTTGTTTTTAGGTTATTGTGATATTCATATCTTAACCGAAAATTTCTCAGTATTCTCGTTAGATACGGTAAAACTAACGTTACTTTTGTAATCTTTAGATTATAAGGAATAAATGGACATCTATTTCATTAAGTTACGCCACAATTTATGGTGCGCCCATTCTCCATACAAAAACTACTATTCTTTGGGGTATTCCCAGTAGTCTTACCAAGTAGTCGTACTAAATGTTCCCCTTACCTTCTTCTTATCTTCTTCTTACCGGTAAGACTACAGAGAATTTATTTTCAACCTTCATGACGTGGTGAATTCCCAAAAGTCTTACTAAATAATCCTACAAGTAAAATAGCTGGTAATTTTCATACCAAGTAGACCTTACTGGTAAGACTATAATTGTCCCTATACACGGTCAGTTAAAATGATCAGTTGAATTGACGTAGTACTTAGTAGTTAGTAGTAGCGGATTTTAATCCGCTGGCTTCAATTCGTTTTAATTTCTGGTAAGTACCTACTTACATTATTTCTATGCTATTTACATTTTTTATTATTTTATATATTTAGAGAATTTAGTTTGACGGAGGATGAAGACTAAGGTGACTGTGATGATGTCACCTTCCTTATGATTGACTCAAAAGATGGGTAAAGGATCCTGGTGATGCTACGTAGAACCATCGTGTTTTTTTTTCTCAACTCATTTTCAAAAAGGTTCATGAAGACCTAGATGACTGTGATGATATCACCTAGCTGATGGTGGACCCCGAAGGAGGGTTTAAAAGATCTCAGTGACGTCACGTCATAGAATCATTGTGTTTGGACTCATTTGAAAGGTACTCATAAAAACCTAGATGACTGTGATGATTTCACCTTCCTTATGGTGGAATCCGTAGGTAAGTTTACGATCTCAGAGACGGCACTACATAGAACTACTGTAAATGAAGTAAATTAAATGACTTACGATTGTTTTTTTAAATAAAGCCGATATATAGATTTTTTTTCGATATATAAAACTCCGATATGGACTTACTGTATATTAATTTACGATATATAAAACTCCAATATTGATATATTTATAATTATTGATATATCAAAAATACGACTGGAGAGCCAATCAACGCGAGCGAACGATACCCGCAGCCAATCATACGCAATAATGCGCAATACAGCCAATTATGTGTAATAGCGGCCACCGTTATACGTGCCGCAAGTTGTACTGGGGAAGAAAATTCCCTGTAGTTCTTACACTACAAAGTTCTTGCGGTAGTCATCAATAAACCAACAAGAAAATGTCATAGTAGTCATACCAGTAAGAAGAAAATGATGGTAGTCTTACTAGTAAGTTTACTGGTATAGTTCTTGCAAAACACGAGTGCGGTCGAGCTTTGGATGTGGTTCGACATGTCCATGCACACTGCACAGTGTGACTGTGCGCGTGTGTGCGGACCGTGCGTAACGTGCGTTCGCTCGCGACTGACCCGTCAGGCACGCACTCACGCACACTATCACACTGTGCAATGTCGAACCACATCCAAAGCTCGACCGCAATCGAGAACTGCAAGAACTATAATACTTCTCGGTCTGGAGAATACAATATTTTATTATATTCTCCAGACCGACTGTCGGTCACGGTGGTCAGTCTGCGCGGAATAGAATTACTTATGTGCACGAGTGTGTGTGAACGCACATCTGCACTTACTATTTCGTCATTCTCGTAGTCCAACGGCAATCCGATACGGTTGAAAGAGATCAGGCGCAGAGTGACCAACGGTTTTACGTGTTTGCAGAGGCACAGGGCTAACGCCACCAACTTAACACTTTCGATCCCGCACTGAACAAGTATTTGTAAGGACTACAAATAATCTAATTACTGAATTTAGCTCGACCCAGAGATTCGAACGCGAGACCACATATCTGTAGTCACGTTTACGATCACTAGACTAACGCAGTTTTTTTATATTAATAAGTAACAAGTTTACAGTCCACCTGATGGATAAACAGCCAATAGAGATCTGTAACCTTGACTCAGTAGCAGTAGCTAAGCGTTTACAGCGTTAGCGACGCAGATGGGTTTGAAACCCGTACGGAACAAGCTTTTGCATTGCAGCAACATCCTTCTAATAACAGTTCAAATTAATAAAAATACCTCCCAAGCGTGAAAAATGCTGGGCTGAGGTCTTTTTTCTAATTTCCGAGAGTGTTACTCTCATTAAAATTATATGTGTGACAGGCAAGCACTGAAGCAGAAGGCGAATTCAGAAAATTTTACTTAAACTGTAAACATATTTAGCGCTTATATGTACACCGGATGACCTTTTTCACCGTCTGAAAAAAATATGTCGTAACATGTGAACGGAGTAGAAGCCTATGGCAATGATATTTTACAAAAAAAATTGTATTAAATTAATTAATTAATTAAAATCTATCGAAATTCTTCTACTCCGTCGATACATACACCCTATTTGTTTCCAGACGGTAAAAAAGGTCATCCTATAAATCTTCTTAAGGCCGAATACGAAGAGAACTGGCGAAAATTAATGTATTTCTCTTGACTAGCACTTTGACCTGAAGTAATTCTAAGCTTTAAAACATTTTTGTAGGTTTATTCGGGTCCTTCACGATGTCACCGTCATTTTAAAATTAAATAAAAAATAATTTAAAATAAATGAATATACCAACAAATAAAATAATGTTAAGAAATGATATTATTCTTCCAGAACTCTGAATTTTAATTTAGGAAAAATTCTTTTACGTAAAAATGTTTGTATTGTAATTCCGAAGGTACCTGCTATCTTTATTTTCGATACAAAATATTATTTATTAACATAATTCGTTTTAATTAAAAACACCTAATAATAATATCGTATATTGCCAGATAAAAGTTTGCCGTAATAAATTACCAGGCGCTTCGACGTGTGACGTAAGGTAACAACAGTCGATGTGTCTGTAGCGAAAATCGTTAATTTATTGTTTTATACGCGTTTAAGTGTCTATAAATGTAAATATGGGTAGGAAAAGAAATAAATGTTACCTAAGTGGTAAAACAGAGTTTATCGCATGAACGCTGCTCGAATGTTGTATTTTGAGGTTAATACTTATATTTAGTAAGGTAATTTTTTGTTTGAGGCTGCCTAATAGGTTGCATTTTTACTCATTTACATTAGCCAAACTGATCATTTATACTTTTCTAGTTTCAAGTGAGAAACACTAAAAATGTAAAATATCAAGACCCAGTCGGAAAAGAATGCACAGAGTAGTGCAAGCACAGAGACCTCAAATAATGTCAGTCAATGTATTGTCCGAAATCATGGGGTAAAAGTACATAATTAAGAAAAACCGAAATACTTCGGATGTGAAGTGATTGACCAGTCGGAGAAGTCTTGTGAGAATTTACATACACAGTACCTATCCCCACTATGGGGCAATCACCGACTTTTTAGTTTTTTTTCTTTATTACCTATGCAATTTGCATTACGGCATCTTGTAAGACTCACAAGAACAAACATTTTCAGTTATATGAGATTCTTTACGTACAATACACCAATTAAGAAAAAAAATCGTTATCAATTCAATAACTTTTCGAACAATATTTTATAACGAATAAAGTACAGAATTTATAATCTATTGGAACTAATATTATAAATAAGAAAAATTTATTTAAGAAGTAAGCAATGCTCTCTGTGTTGTTCATTACTCTGCATCTGAGCTAGTTCAGTCAAATATAATCAAAGCCCGTATGGCTTTGATTATAGGTATTATACATGTCTATATAAACAAAGCGTAGGTACTGGCGGCGCGTGGTTTGCTGCGAAACTAGCAAGGTCATTCGCGTCGTATTCGGCCTTAATGTATATACCTAAATTACGTGTCACGTTGTTTATCCGCGATGGATTCCTAAGCTATTTAACCGATTTTAATTAAATCTGCACAACGCGTTTAGTCCAAAGAGAGATTGAATAGTTAGAATAGTTGAGAGATAGGATAGTTTTTTTTTGCCCAAGAGTGACCCACAATTATTTTTTTTTTGCGAATTTAAGGATTTTAATAGGACATGACAAAGGGTCGTCGAAAAGGGCAGAACAACGTCTGCCTGGTAAGCTAGTATTATATATGACACGGATCGCCTCTCATTAGATACGAATGCGATTTTATTTTATCTAGATGTAAAATAATTTTTTTATTGCACCAATCCTATTTGGTCGTTGAAATTTCCTTAAATAATAAGCAAAATAGTTTTTTATTTCTTTTTTATAAATTATCAGAAAGATTTACCAAAAAAACAAATCTCTAAAATAAAAAAAATATTCATTAATACCTCTTTCATTTTTTACTAGATGTTTTTTCTTACCTGCACGGCGACGACAAAGGCCAGTAAACAGACACCAAGAACCTTCATGTTGAATCCAATAACTGCTATTAACAGAATGGAATAAATTTCATTTTAATTACATTTTTATCATCGATTAACTTTATCTATATCGGCATATATTAAGATTGAACGGAAACTGATTAAAAGATAAAAACTTATATTTTTTAATCCATTTGATAAAACAAGTGGTATATTTTTTGTACAATCGACTTCAATATAAATGAAATGAGAACATCATCAATGTTAGTCGAAGTCAACTAAATACGCTTTATTTAGGATAACTCAAAAACTCGCCAAGGCTGTCCAAGGAAATTTCTGTCAGCCATCTCTTCCATCTCTGCACAGGGAGGACGACTCACTGGCCCATACCGCAAAGGAGAAAGCCAATCTTCTAGGCTCTTTCTTTGCGTCCAACTCGACCCTCGATGACGGGGGAGTACGCCGCCGGCCATCCCGCGGTGTGAGTGCTCCCTGCCGGAAGTGCAGTTCAAACAGCGCTCGGTTCGTAAAGCACTCCTCTCCCTGGCCCTCCACAAGTCGAGTGGGCCGGACGGAATCCCCCCAACTGTGCTGAGGACGTGTGCTCCAGAGTTGGCACCGGTTTTAACGCGTCTTTTCCGGTACTCCTACTCCCTAGGCGTAGTCCCAAAGTCATGGAAGACGGCTTTCGTCCATCCGATTCCTAAAAAAAGGCGACCGCACAGACCCGTCCAACTAGCGGCCTATCGCCATCGCCTCCTTGTTCTCCAAAACAATGGAGTCCATTGTAAACTGCCAGCTCATGAGGTTAACCTTGAGGATCCCCAGCTGATTAGTGACCGCCAATACGGTTTTCGCCGTGGTCGGTCAGCTGGTGATCTTCTGGTCTACCTAACTCACAGATGGGCGGAGGCAGTAGAGTCCAAGGGGGAGGCATTGGCCGTTAGTTTGGACATTGCGAAGGCCTTCGATCGGGTTTGGCACAAAGCGCTTCTTTCGAAGCTCCCTTCCTATGGGCTTCCCGAGAAATTGTGCGATTGGATCACAAGCTTTCTTGCAGATCGGAGCATCAAGGTCGTTGTAGACGGTGCAAGCTCCGATTGCAAGCCTATTAATGCTGGTGTTAAACAAGCCTGCGTGCTATCGCCAACGCTGTTTCTTCTGCATATCAATGATATGTTGCAAACCCGCAACATTCATTGCTATGCAGATGAAGCACTGGTGATGCTCTTTACACCGAGTCAATATTTCTCGGGAAAACGTCTCCGAGTACCGGGACAAACTTGTGTCTGAAGTCGAGTCTTTGCTGAACAGAGTCTCGGATTGGGGGCGACTAAATCTAGTCCAGTTTAACCCCCAGAAGACACAAGTTTGCGCGTTAACCGCTAATAAGAACCCCTTTGTCGTATCTCCTCAGTTTCAAGGCACTCCCCTTGTTGCCGCAGCCAGTATCGGAATCCTCGGCGTTGACATATCGAGTGACGTGCAGTTTCGTGGTCACTTGGAAGAGAAGGCCAAATTGGCCTCTAAAAAGCTTGGCGTGCTCAGCAGAGCGGGACAGTATTTCATGCCGGCACACCGCCTGCAACTTTACAAGGCGCAGGTTCGGCCGAACATGGAATACTGTTCTCATCTCTGGGCTGGGGCTACCCAGTACCAGCTCCTTCATGGCAGAGCGGCTCGAATCGTCGACGACCGAGTGCTTTCCGATCGGCTCGATTCACTGGCACTGCGAAGAGATGTTGCATCTCTTTGCATTTTCTTTCGCATATACCATGGAGAGTGCTCTGAGGAATTGTTCGGATTAATCCCAGCCGCCAAATTTCATGAACGCACTACGCGGCAAACGTCCCGATACCATCCACACCATCTGGATGCTTGGCGCTCCACCACTGTACGATTCAAAAGGAGTTTTCTTCCGCGTACAACCTCTCTGCGGAATAGTTTACCACCGGCGATTTTTCCGGACCGATACGACCTGGGGACCTTCAAGAAAAAAGCTTACTCCTTTCTAAAGGGCCGGCAACGCACCTGCAATTCCCCTGGTGTTGCGGTTGATCATGGGCGGCGGTAGTCACTTAACATCAGGTGAGCCGCATGCTCGTTTGCCCCCTCTTCTATAAAAAAAAAACTACTGGTCATTTCTCAATCAAATTTATACCTATGGCATCAATTATCAAACTCGGTTCGCCTAAAAAAAGTTCTGACACATTAAAAAAACAGTTAAATTGAGCCTCCACCTCCTTCTTTTTGCGAAGTCAGTTAATTATTGCAATTTAAATGAGCAAATCTAATGATAGGTAAGTCTGTAAGTATTATCTATCACTGTGATGATAATTCATGATGGTGGACTTAGAAGGTTGGATAAAAGATCTCAGTGATGCCACTACAAAACACCATCGTGTTTGGGCTCATTTGAAAGAGCTCGGGTTGACTAAAATTGAGTAAATAAGACATGATTTTAAGAAGAAGTAGCTAGTTAAAATACGATTTTAGATTTACTGTGGTTTGTGGCTTATTACCAGATTGTGTGATAGTACAAACAGTATTATTAGGTACCCACTTAATTTATTATGTTTTCAGGCAAATTCAGAAACCAGCAAAACTCCTATGTAGGTACTTACAAAATTAGAAATCTGCCACATATTTTACAGACAATAAAAAACAAGGCACACTAGAAAAAGCTGCATAACCAACTACAACCAGAAGACGAAAATATCTGCGTATTTCGAAAGCCTACAAGCACCATCAACACCAATTCCTATAAATTACCAACTTACCTCGATATTCCGAATTCAATGATTTTTGACTGGAAGTTAAGATGTTTAGATTTTGTAAATAAAACAATGTTGTACTCATTGATTTATTACACGAATATTAGGCATTTAATAAAACGAAATTTTCAGATTTTATTGTGTTTAATTTTACTTTTTAAAAATCCCCGCTTTTGGGTGCTTCAACTTTATTTTAGAATGTAACATGTAGCGTGCTTAATCAGATAAACATAGAAAGCTAGGCCATCCTAACTATTATCGTGACCAAAAACCGATAAGCACTTATTTGGCCATCATAAGGTCTTCAGAATGTGCCCATTCCCACAGATTTTTCCGGGCGCACCGTAATCCGCTGGCTTCAGTTCATTTGCTTCACGCCAAAGCCAAACAGACTGTGAGTTAGCGTGCTTATAACAGGGATTTGTCACTCCTTCAAGGTCTTGCGCTACCTACGGCTAGCGTACTCCGGGAGTGCAAATCTCAATGGGGTGTCGCACTTAAAAATAAAAAACACATTTATTAAATAACTAAAATTTACCCTAATTAATCAAATTATCGTAATAAATTATAAAATTGTCTTAATACTTATCTTATCATGCATGTAAATATCTTTTGAAGTGTTAATATTATTTTATTTTAATAGAAAGGAAATGATATTTTTTTAATTTATAGAAGTCACGCAATTTTATCTGTGACACTTCTAAACTAAAAATTAAAATTTAAGTGCACCCTCCCAAAGTGGAGAGATAAGGCTTAGCACGCACTGCGATTAACGCGAGTGGTTTAAGAATAGCTAAAAACGCAAAACCGCATACAATCACGCATTGCGGTTGTCCTTTGCTTAATTTTATTTCAGTACCACCACATTTCTCAGTTTGTGGCTTTGGTATTTAAATTAAGAAATGGAAAACGTAACAGTGCCGCCGCCATAGGTACTGGGTACACCCACTAACAGATCAAAGACATCTGAAAGGATGCTCTTGCAAAATGTACAACGACGTGTGATAACATCCCGATAAGTTTTTTATTACTACAGAAGGACGTAGTACTTTTGATAAATTATTACACGTGGTGGGCCAGTATCTATAACATGAAGATACTGCATTTCGTATGGCGATATCATCTGAGGATTGGCTTTCAATTATGTACTTTAAGGTTAAAAACAATTTTTAATTATTGAGAAAACTTTTATTTCAAACTATTGAACAGGGCAAATTAATTATTAAGAAGTAAAATAATAATTTTTTAGTTTACTCTCCGGCATAGTCTTGGTCTTCTATTATTTTTTTGATTTCCAAATCGTGACAAATAATCGGCAGTCGAACTGGCTGGTCTTAAGATTTGTTGGTCTATAATTTGCACCTGATTTTGTGACGTTGGTATAGGCGGTGCTTGCAGAATTGTAGGTAATTGGCGGCTGTGTAGATGGACTTGGTGGAGGCAGAGTTGCTGATAGTGATTGCACGAAATATATTGTTTCTAAAAATGAGGATTGTGGAGAATACTGACTCTGATAGGTTTTTTGATGATATAATGGTGAACTACATAAGTATTCTTGGTCCTCGAAATTGATATGGTTGATTCAAAACTTCTTCCGATGGTAGTGGAGCTGAATGAGAACGTGTTGTTTTTAAGGCATTAAGTATTTCACTCTCAGAAAAATGCTTTTGATCTTTATTTAGATTTAGTTTATGTAACATAGGAACTAACAACAGCGCAAAGATTTTTGCTTCGTCGTCGTTGTCGTCCTGTAATTGTTTGTCTTTTAATATATGTGTCAAGTAATTGTTTTTCATAATCTGTTAAATCGTTGTCCCGAAAACCATAGAATACTATAATACACAATAGAATGGCTGTCAACCTTATTTTGAAGGAGAAATGGCGTCGCTGGGAGCACACATACAAGATATTACGTCGTATTATCAGTTATCACTACTACAAACACATTTTAGACTTTTGATTAATGTTTTTGACACATAAATATTTCTTTATTTTTGTTTCTAATATTCACAAAATATAAATAGTTTCGACTTACTGGTTGTAGAATATGTCTCCTTTATTTAAATTCCATTTCCCGCTGTTCTTTCGAAACGTAATTATTGCCTGATTTGCCATGTTTTTAAATAATTTGCACGCAGCGACGCTTGACACGAAAATTGGAACGATTGATTGTGTTGACCTTTATACGTGTGATTTTGACATGTTAGTGGCTACACGGGCTCCGCCCACTCCTCCATTCTATTATGTATGTATTATAGTATTCTATGTCGAAAACAGTTTTTCTTTCATAGTCATGTTCTATTGTTGTTAGAGGGCTGTGAACTCTGAGCTCAAGCGGACAATGTTGTAGGTACTATGCTGAGTAGAAACAGGCGGCGGAACATTACTGCTTATTTCTGCACAGCAGGAATTTAAAATAGCATTGAATCGAAATGGACATATTTCTTCTTCGTTGGAAAAGAAGCTTGTTCAGATATGCCTTGTTGTTCTGCCAATTCCTTATCGAAACAATATTTCATATTTTCCATTTTTATTTTATATGGAGTTTCCCGAAACCAAAAAAACAAAAAAATTAAATTAAAGATCAAATAAATATCTTGTGTACCTTGCTAAATGCTGGGAAATGGCATAAAATCGTTGTACTTTGAATACTTGATTGGTGCTATGACTATCAGTGAAATTATTTATCATACATGCAAGCAGTTGTGGTTATACTTGCAGCCTATTTATTTAAAATAAATGATTAAAGAAGACTGGTTAAACATAGTGCAAGGGTTTTTTAAACAAACACACTTCCCAAATTAAATCGGCGCGATTGATGGCAAGCACATCAAAATCGAAAGACCCGGTTATACAGGCTCAGAGTCATTTAATCACAGGAAGTTTTGTCCGATTATTCTGCTTGCGACAGCCGATGCAAACTATTGCTTCGTAGCTGCTATTGACGTGGATGCATGCGGATCCAATAGTGACGCCAGCGTATTCCGAAATTTAAGTTTTGGTAGAAGACTTTTAACAACTTTCAAATCAACTTTACTTTAGTATGCCAGAAGGACAGTTGAATGTACATTTAGAATTAAGGCAAATAAATGGCGAATTTTTCACAGGCTGTTAGATACAAAACTTATAAAGTGCGATTAGATAGTAAAAGCGTGCTATATATTGCACAACTTCGTACGAAAATACGATGGCAAGAAATGACCAGAGGCCAGAATAAATACCAGAAAGGTCGATGGGAACTTTCTGAACTACACTTACACTCAGTTAGACTTCGTTCTAGTAATGACGTCATTCAAATACGAAATTTATTTGCCGACTACTTTACATCTCGATCTGGTACTTTAAACTGGCGGTACGATGCTAATTGTAATTACTAATTGTAGTTAATTAACTTTTAGGTGATTGTTATGTATAGGTAAGTAAACATAATAGTATGTATGTCCGTGTGGCGGTAGCTCATCACTGAGCTACCGCCACACGCACTGTCAGCACAGAAGGCGCACGGCGCTGCACAGCGCCCCGTACGCACCACGCGCCATCATCCGCGACTCGCGCTCGCGTGTCAATAAAGTATCAGTGATGCGGCCCGTAGATTTATCCTCGATTAAGAATCAAAAAGCAGATGCGTTGTCACACTTTAGGACTAACATAGAATGCCTCGTTTCCAGTAAAAAGGGCCACTGGTTCTTACACTCACAATACGAAACACAGCAACATTAAGCTGCTACTTGGTATTTTGTGAGAGCGCGGTCCTACCACGGTCGGGCCAACTCATTCTACTCTCACTGCACGTAAAAATATATTATCAAAACACAAATAAGACATCATGGCTGCGCGCGAAAACAGAAACACGAAAACAAAACACACCCTTCCTGCCTTACTCTTATTACACCTCCCTTATAGAGGATTTACCTAAGGACCCTGATTCAGTGAAGTGTAATACGCCTTTAACAATAAATCCTTTTAATATTTTGATTTTTTAATTACCTACTCCAATTTTTCCTACTCATTAGTCATTTAAACCTCTCGATGTAACTGAACGAAATGTAGCTATTATACTTACCTCAATGCAGGCTCAAATTGTATGAAAGGAACTCTTACGTAAATGCTATAAAGGTGTATAACAAAATACCAAACGACTTTAAAGAGTTACCTTTAACCATGTTTAAAAAAAAAAGTTGATACAATGGTTAAAAGAAAAATGTTTATACGACCTAAACGAATTTATGTCTTTTTGTGGAAAATAAATCCGAAGTCAGTAATATTGATATATATCTAATAATTAATTAATTACAAACAAAATGAAAGTATGGACATTAACAATTAAGAACAATCATTAAACAATGTGACATTTTAATTGAATTCCCACTTGTTGTTAATTTTTTTTTGCATGTATACTTATAAAATATTTGCACACCATATAAAATGGTAGAATGTAAATGGGCCATTATACATAATTTAAGATCATACTTTATTGTACACATACATTCTGGCAAATAAATGAATTTTAATTTGAATGAAACACACATTCAGCAGGGATGGGAGATATGATAAGGATATTGAACGACGAGTGAATGCAGGAAATAAAGTAAATGGGGCTCTACACTCTATTGTGAAAAGTCAGAATGTGTCAAAAAAGGCACGTATGGCAATTCACAGTGTGTAATTAGTCCCTACTTTAACGTATGGTAGTGAAAGTTGGGTGTGGCAGAAGAAGCACGAGAGTAGAATAAATGCAGTAGAAATGCGGTCGCTAAGGAGTACGTTAGGGCTGAATCTGAGTGACAGGGTGAGAAACTGTGTGATAAAAGAAGAGTGTGGTTTGCAAGATGATGCGGTGACCAGGATTAAGAAAGGAATGCTTCGGTGGTTTGGTCATGTAGAAAGAATGAATGCGGAAAGACTGACAAAGCAAATATATGTTGCAGAAGTGAATAGAAGAGTCGGAAAGGGACGTCCTAGGCGGAAGTTTGTCGACCAAATTGGCGATATACTAAAAATGGGCTAAATTAAGAGTACCCTTAACCGACGAGCATGTATGCATATGTATATGGATGTGGAAGAGGCGAGAAAGGTATGTCAGGATCGTGCTAAATGGAAGTCTGTAGTCTCTGCCTACCCCTCTGGGTGACAGGCGTGAGTGTTTATGTTTTATGAAACACACATACCCAATGGTGAAACTCAGAACAAACCCGTTCAGAAAAACGTTGATAGACTAATGCAGTGTCAATTTTTGTTTTACATGATGTATAAAGCTTATGTCTAAGACATAACATGTTAATTAGTGCATTTATTTAATGTATGGCAATATATTACAATGATAAATAAATAGTATTGACGTTACAACTAGGCCTGAGTATAGAATTTTTTATCTATATTTTGTCACACTGTCCATCTCTATTATTAGTTCCGTGGACGCTCACTACTATTAGCGCCATAATGGAGAAAGTCAAATCGCCTCATTATGACGCTGTGTACAGCCAGCCCAGCATACTTGTGCATAAAGGTTACAGTATTATTACGATTTAAGCCATACGAGCTGGCAACGCTGCCACTACACGCTGCCACGCTACACGGGTAAATAATATGAAATCTGTCATTTTCATAAATAAATAGTCCGACTATTTTCGTATTTTGTTACGTATTTGTTTACACCGAAATCTCTGAGGCTACTAGAAATCTGAAGCGTAACTAATTATCTAATTAGTTACAATCTATTTTTTTACCGGGCAATGAAGGCACGCGTTATTAAGTTATTTTAAATAATAAATTACTAAAATAATATAATTTGTTTTATTTATTCTACCAAAACAATTTAATTGAGATCCCTTTAACTAGTTGGGCACTCGTGGTACATAGCTATGAAGTAACCTGAAAATCATTTTAAGTACAACTAATATCTATCAAGATGTAGTAGAAATAGATGGATCATGATTCCATTTGATAAAAAAATTATGTAAAAGCATTTTTATATGGAACTATCGATCTGCCCCGTCTTAGCACGGGTTATATCTGGATCCTACTACAGCGCCACCAACCGGACCCAACTGTGCATATAACCTTCGCGGAAGTGCAAGCAGTATGTTGACAAAGTTTAATCACAATCTGATGAACGGTACGGGAGCGCACTTTTTTGTTGTTGTTATAGAATAAGGGTAACAAACGAGGTCATATTCCATCTGATGGTAAGTGGATGCTGTGGCCCATAGACATCTACATTTAACCTCGACTAAGAATCAAAATGCGAACTCGTTGTCACCCCTGAGGGCTAAGATGGAATGCCTCAATTCCAGTAAAACGGGTCTCCTGTTCTCTACACTCACCATATGAAACACAGTAGCATTAAGCAGCTATATTACGCTGGTATTCTGTGAGAGCGTGGTCCTTCCCCGATCGAGCCGACCCATTCGTGCTTCAACCATAACATAGCTGCAGCGTGGCTCTACCACGTATAAAATATTTACGAGCAAACAAATATAAATTTTTACATATTAGATTACTGGGTCGACAATATTCGACAAAACAAAATCGTATATAGATCGTATATGATAGAAGCGTTCCAAGTTCAAAGAAACAAAAGCGTAAATAAATAAAATGACGTAAGGTGTCACAGTCGTTGTGTCTGTAGCAAAATATAAATATCACGACCGAGTCGGAAAAAAATGTACAGGGTAGTGCAAGCACAGAGACCGCAAATAATGTCATAGCCAATGTATTGTCAGAAAGCAAACAATATTCGACAAAACAAAATCGTATATAGATAGTATATGATAGAAGCGTTCCAAGTTCAAAGAAACAAAAGCGTAAATAAATAAAATGTGTTTATTAATATAAATATGATCTTTATAAATAGAGTGCTTTTAGTCGTTTTTCGGACTTTTCGACCAAGACTTGCGTGGTCCCTCATCTTTGGGTAGAGACCAACTCTTGGACCTTTGCCTTGTTATCTGTGGCGTAGCCAGCTGGTTCCCACCCTCACTATTTCTGCCTTTGTGCTCGCTCGTCTGTTTGGGACTGCTCGTGCGATGTCTGCTCTTGGAACGGGACTTTGTTCTGGATCGGCGGCTACGCGATCTAGAACGTTTTCGAGACCTAGAACGACTGTGGTATGATCTGAAAGAAATCGATAAGAAAACATAAAATTAGTAAAGCGTTTCTTATATTTTTTTCTACCCTTAAAAACACCAAGTAACAGCATAAGTGGCGACAACGTATTGACTAAACTGTCGTTAGGATAACTGATTTAGTATCAACGGCGTGAAGATCACTTATGTGAATTGAATGGAGCCGGTCTGCCTACACGATGTTGGTGTGTTTGATAGGTACAGTCGTTGAAACATATGTCATGGTTTGGTAAATTAAACGATTATTGGGATGATTATATGGGGTGTGCTATGTGCAAAACCTAAGTAAAATAAAAATTGATTTATTTCTAGAACTTCGGAATAAAAAAGTGTATCAATTGTATGAGTGTGAGAGATATCGTCTATAATTTCTGCTCTCAATTTCATTCTTTTTTCATTAATAATGGCAGTGGCTACATGGTCTTCAGCCAAACTAAGCCATGTCAATATACTAAAAAAGGAATGACAATTATCACATAAAAATCAACACGCAAAGTATCACTGGGTCAATCTTCTAAAATTATTTCATTTATGTTAATTTTAAGAAGTTAATGTCATTAAAAAATTGATTTTTAAACATACAAAACCGATACATACAGAATGTTATATTTAATATCTCTTTTCCGGTTCATTCAAAAAATCGATTTTTGATTACCGATCTCAGATTGCCATCGTTACTACGTTTATCATTGTCAAAATAAATGTTTGTAATTAATAGATCCATGGGGCAATAAATAATTGTAATCAGTCTATCTTACTCGCACACATTGAACTTATGGAGCGTCATAACGATGTGCGTAACAGCAGGTAGTCGATATCGATAAGATTTAATTTTTAAAAATTTTTACGGTTTGAAATTACGAAATTATAAAATAACAATAAAATTACGAAATTATAAAATAACACAATAAAATAAATAAAATATAATCTAAATTTAGAAATATTTTATTATATTACAAATTATTCTTCATCCGTGTCATCTGTATCACTACTATCATTTTGCTGTAGATTTATAATCAAAGGTTCAACTTTATCTCTCAAAAAAGCTTTTTTCAAATCCGCTTCCTGGTGGTATTCTGCATACTTTACACATTTAACCCAGTTTTCCCTGGTAACGTTTTCTCTTGCTTTATGCAGAAGAACTTCAACATCGGCTATTTTAAAAGTATGTTTTTGCGCTGCAATTCCTCCTTTTACCTGAGCCCATATGAGCTCAGTAGGATTATATTGACAATAATGTACCGAGGTCCTTACCTTGTTTTACTAAACATAAACAGGTAACGACAAATTCAATGAGGGTAGTTTTGTCCACCGGCGGTGTCGGACTCAGGTAGCGAGAAGCGCACAGCGGTTGCACATTTTTATTGTTATTGACATTTATGGCCCGACAACTCAGTTGATTATGCGGGCACTATACCTCATATCGTCCCATGTGTCGATATGAGGTATCGTGCCAAGAGGTGATAGACGTTAACTGAAACTGGCGATGGGCAGCAGCATTATCCTGTTAACTCGGAAAAATAAAAAACTGCAACTATCGCAAAATCCTTGAGACAATCTATGGCGGAGGCCTATGTTCAGCAGTGGACTTTTATACGCTGTGATGGATAGTAATAGAAATCGACTTTATCTTCAGGTATACAGAATGGGTCCCACATATATGCAATAAATGAAACCACAAGTAATACTAGTCCGTAGAAGTGTAGGAAAATTAAATATTAAATTAAAACCCGTAAAATAAAAAAGTGAAATTTTCAAACAAAATAAATATTAAAATAAATTCAGTAAAAGTGAACACGCTGTTTAGACAACGTACCTTGACCCCTTGGAAGAGTGACAACGTTGCACGCGGGTGGCACGCCGACAAAAGACACCGCTGTCGATATGTCGCAATACCAATAGTTTGCACTGCGTGGCAACGTCGCTTTTTAATGTTCAAGAATTCAAGTTCATTGAATCATTGACTTAGTGACCCAATTCTATAGAGTGTTCAAATTTGCTTAAAATTAAAACTCTACTTTTTGACCTAATTACTGGACCGATTACGTTCATTTTTTTGTATATCGTCAGCAAAGGCGATAACAAGTATAATATGGTTTCATTTATTGCATATATGTGGGACCCATTCTGTATGTAATACCTATATTACATTTATAAAATTCTGAACGAGTATTATTTAAAATATAGGTTGTAATTGTTTAGTCCATTATGTTAATCCTTTGATTTGCTTTATTCATGGACGCCATTTAGCCAAAACCTTATCAAATCGGCATTTCCTTTCACTTTATAAGTAAAAGGAAATACCGATTTTATTCATATTATAACTAGAGATGGGCCGAATATTCGTTTTATATTCGTTATTCTGCATATTCGGCAGCTTTACCGAATATTCGTATTCGGCCGAATATTCGGCTAAATCATGGAGGTTAGAGAACAGGAGAACGAATGCTGTAGAAAATAGTGTCCCAGAAATAAGGACACCATAAATGAGGTGCTGCGATCGCTAAGTTCGCTCAATAAAAGTCATTTTCAGTCTATTTTTCCGATCAGATGCTAACGCCACTTGCACATCCACGCACAATAAAATATTTCTCAATTTTTTAATGTTTCTTTTTGTCAAAAATTACTAAATTACGGAGAAAAATTTGTACATTATTCAACTAACTTCATCTATTTGTACCTACTCATAAACAGCTAACTTCGTAGTTACTAATTGCCGACGTCATCGCCGCTACAATTTTCAAGGACAGGCGGGCTATGCTTTACTACGTAGCGATCGTTCTCCTGTTTTTTAACCTACATGGTGTCCACAGTATTGAAATGTATACGAATTGAGTAAGGTCATGTCTTTCATAATTTTACTGATGAAAGTACATTTATTTATGGGTTAAATCTACTTGTATAACGTTATGTTTTTGAGGCACTGTAGATTTATTTCCAATTACAGCAAATAGAAAGCTTGATAAAAATGTTTTGGAGTCAATCAAACAAAGAAACATTACATTACATTAGTACATTTCACTTTACGTTTGTCGTCAGTTTCTCTAAAATAAGTCCAAATAGTAGATCTCCTGGTACTCATTTTTATAATATTATTATCAATTTTCGTTACGAAAAATACAACGAAATACTATTTATTCTCTAAAAAATTGTCAAAAAAATATGGCGACGATGCGAAAGTTCTGTTCGAACCCACGGCCCACGTAGTATAATAATTAACGTCACATGAGTTAGTGATGTATGTTAGGGTATGATGGGACTGACATACGCTAAGCGGTAAATGTCCCTTAAGGCCGAATACGAAGAGAACTGGCGAAATTTAATGTATTTCTCTTCACTACAACTTTGACCTCAAGTAATTCTAACCGTTAAAAATTTTTGTAGGTTTGTTCGGTTCCTTGACAAGGTGCCCGCTGTTTAAAATTTTAAAATAAATGAATATACCAACAAATAAAAAAATGTTAAGAAATGATATTTAAAAATGATTTATCTTCCAAAACTCTGCGAATTTTAATTTAGGAAAAATTCTTTTACGTAAAAATGTTTGTATTGTGATTCCGAAGGTGCCTGCCGTCTTTATTTTCGGTACAAAATATTATTTATTAAGATAATTCGTTTTAATTAAAAACACCTAATAATAATATCCTATATTGCCAGATAAAAGATTGCCGTAATAAATTACCAGGCGCTTCGACGTATGACGTAAGGTGTCACAGTCGTTGTGTCTGTAGCAAAATATAAATATCACGACCGAGTCGGAAAAAAATGTACAGGGTAGTGCAAGCACAGAGACAGCAAATAATGTCATAGTCAATGTATTGTCCGAAAGCATGGGGTAAGTACATAATTAAGAAAAACCGAAATACTTCGGATGTGAACTGATTGAATAGTCGGAGTAGTCTTGTGAGAATTTACATACACAGTACCTATCCCCACTATGGGGCAATCACCGACTTTTTAGTTTTTTTTTTCTTTATTATTTATGCAATTTGCGTTACGGCATCTTGTAAGACTCACAAGAACAAACATTTTCAGTTATATGAGGTTCTTTACGTACGATGCACCAACTAAGAAAAAAATAGATATCAATTCAATAACTTTTCGAACAATATTTTATAACGAATAAATTACAGAATTTATAATCTATAGGAACTAATATTATAAATAAGAAAGATTTAATTAAGAAGTAAGCAATGCTCTCTGTGTTGTTCATTACTCTGCATACTGAGCTAGCTTAGTCAAATATAATATAATCAAAGGCCGTACGGCTTTGATTATATTATACATGTCGCTATATATATAAAGCGTACGGGTAACACACGTGATGTTCGATAGACGGCGCGTGGTTTGATGCGAAACGAGCAAGGTCAATCGCGTCGTATTCGGCCTTAAATGATTGTAGATTAAAAAAGGTACCGAGTTTATCTTGCCGAATAATGTTCGGCCAAATATTCGGTTCGGTAAAAGTTTTACCGAACTTTTGTCCGAATATTCGTATTCGGTGAAATCCATAGCCCATCTCTAATTATAACCTAAATATGCTCCAGGGCTAATATAATTAATAACAAAAATACATATTACTTTGATCTTCTGCTTCTAGAACTTGAACGTCTGCTTCGGCTTCTGCTTCTAGAACGTCTGCTTCTGGAACGTCTACTCCTGGACCTGGAGCGACTGTACGAACGACGACGCGACCTCGAACGCGAACGCGAACGAGAACGCGTATGGGACCGACTGTACGAACGTCGCCGCGAGTGCGATCGATCGCAATGCTGGTTGCGGCCTTCCTGCTCCGTTAGTTTCTTGAAATATCTGTAAAAGTAGTCACAACTAATAAAAATCATGTAATATTATATTTAATACTAAAAATTGAGTATAGATATTAAAAAGTAAAATATTTATAACTAAAAAGTGAGCACATATTTTCAATTAACCACGGCCAAAAATTTGCTTAGATTTGTATTCAAAAACAAAATCTAAAACTCAATAGAACATGTAGGTTTAACGGAAATTGCAGTCAACAAGGTATTAAAATTATTTATTCTTTATTGCTACACCTTACTTACAATTAAGGTAACAATGGGTGGACTTTATGCAGGTCGGCATTCTCTGCCAGTAAACCCGTAGCGTAGTGAGTTATTGTGGCACTTTTAAACTTGTTACAAGATCTCGAATTATATATGTTGTATTTAGTCACTTTAATTAGGCTGTCTTATTCTAAGGAATCTCAAATCCGCTCAGCGACCTATGGAAAGAGCTATGCTCGGATTCTCTCCGCTTGATGGATTTTTTTTATAGGATAGGGTAACCAACCAGCACACAGTCCACCTGATAGTAAGTGGTTGCTGCGGCCCATAGACATCTACATCTATCCTCGATTACAAATCAAAATGCAGATGCGTTGTCACCCGTGAGGACTAAGGTGGAATGCCTCGTTTCCAGTAAAAAGATTCTCTGGTTCTCTACACTCACCATACGAAACACAGCAGCATTAAGCTACAATTTTACGCTGATAGTCTGTGAGAGCATGGTCCTTCTCCGGTCGAGCCGATCCATTCGTACTACAACTATACTTACTACTAATATAACTGCAGCATGTTGAGGACATTAGTTCATAGAGTTCGTTGGAGTATGACGTTTCAAGACTACAGAATTTTTCTGAAAAAAAAATGTTTGTACAATTACTTTGCCTTTTGCCCTTGAGCCTGTGACCCTGCGAAGTGCCAAGGTCAAAGATGCCTAATGTAAAGTAGGGTGGATATGATTTGAATTTCAATAGATTTATTTAATTCAAATTTTTGTTTTTATTTTTTGTAAAATATCAATGCCATAGGCTTCCTACTCCGTTCACATGTTACACCCCATTTTTTTCCAGACGTTAAAAAAGGTCATCCAGTATATTGAATAAAAAATTATTTTATTCTATTCTAAAAACCTAAAAAAAAATTCTTACTGGTAGTACTGTTGGCTGGCGTCGGGTCCATCGAAGTACGGCATTCGAGGCCTGAGCCCTCTGCCTCGGCCGCGAGCTCGCATCGGCCGCCGCTCGCCGAAGTACCCGCGCACCCCGTAGTACAGCGACGCTGCAATCATCACGCATCACGCCGCTCTCACCAGCCCACCGCTGGGCTGATCACCCCTCCAGTTGGTGTAATCACCCCGGTAAAGTCCAAGCGCTCTATCTTGGTCGGGCTGAAGTTAGTCGCGAATGGAAGCGCAGATATAGTATTTAGGAACAAAATGGTGACAAGAAGCGCGGAGGGTCGGCGGTCACTAGATATGCGAATACGCATTTGCGCGGTTACTATACAGAAATACTCGATTATCATTATAATCGATTATGATTCGATTTTATTTTATATTTTGGTGTGTAATTGCAACATCTCCATCTTTTTAAATACAGTTATTATGATGACATGCATTAAAGATTTTATAGAAAATTTTAAAGTTATGTATTTTGGTGTGAATTTTTTCTCCCCGCTAATATCGTGTATATACTATATAATATTCAAACTTTTTAACGTAATCTTTTATTATATACTATTATTTTATTGAAATACATAACATATTTCCATAATAAATATAACTTTCAATTTGTTCTATAATCGATATGGATAAAACAAACTGCTTCCTTAAGCAATCTTATGGCACGAACAACTCGCCGAGTTATTCGTGGACGAGTACGACGCGTTTTATTAATCGTCTGTATTTATTCAACGTCAATCTTTTAAACATGCATGACGTGCGTTTGAACTACGATTAACCAGGTCATGCAGGAAGTCGATGGATGCAGATGGCGTAGGATCGTGCTTTGTGACATTCCTTGAGGGAGCCCTATATTCAGCAGTAGACTTGTGAAGGGCTGTGATGATGATGATGATGAAATATTTATTTTCATTAATATTTATTTAAAACTGGTTTCTAGGACCCCATATCACGATTCACGAGCTCTCCTTGATAAAGTTCTATAAAATAGTGGAATCGTTACTGCAATCCATCACAGTAGACAGACATTTTATTGTAGGCATTTTTTTTAATATTTTCAATAAAAATAAAGTTTAAAAGTTCACGGGTCAAAGCAAATAATGACTAATGAATACACACGAGCAGTCCTTTTACATCTGGCATAAAACCGACATTGAGTAGAAAACAGGCGAATATTCGGGCCAAGTAGCGAGATCACCCGAACAAGGCATTTACATGCTCGTACTCGTGTCTACTCGCCTATACTCGGCTAATATGTAATCGTTGCACTAGGAGAGAATATTTGGTATTTACCTATGAAATCGCCGTATCAGTTAGTTCAGTTATAAATGAAATAAGTTAACATACTTTTTTTCTATATTTTTTATTTCTACTAATCAAAAGTAATCGCCCATACAATCGACGCATCTTTCCCAACGCAGTGGCAGTTTGATGATGAGAGTTCTAGAAGAAATGGAAATGGAACTGGACGTCCAAAGCTGCAGCTAATTCAGCCGCAGATTGAGTATCGGCTTCCACGATCGCCTTTGTCGATTAGTTTTCGAACGACCAAGGGGTTCATTTTTTCAAGGTAGAAATTTCCAGAGCAGAAGCGGGGCAAACCAATAACAGGTGGTGCGTTCGTTTGTTATATTCGCTCCGTGAACGTCGTTTATGTTACGTGCCGCTCGTGCCGCATTGCTGCCACGACGGTACTCATATTTTATAATTACTCGAATTTATTACGTATCCATGATGACAAAAAAGATTCAAATGCTATGAAAACATAACGCTAACCAATAAACAAATGAATAATTTTGAAAAAAGAATTCCTCGTTTTTTAAATAAAATTAATTTGAAATTAGAATTCTTAGCCAAACAAAAATTATTTTGATTTGAAATGGGCAGTAATGCAGAACGGCCTCAGTTGTTCTTTAGGTAACGACCTATTATGCACGAAAACGCAAAATCAATTTCAGCCCGGCCAAGATAGAACACGCGGACTTTAAATTAAGATTGACGGGGATGGATTAGCGATGAAATGATGAAAATAAGAAGTCAGCCCTCCAATGGTTGACGTAAGTATGCGTTTTTAAACTTTTTATTGTGACCTCCTTACCAAACAACAGTCCACGGCTGGACTTTATCCTCTCTCCAGTCAGTAATCGTGAGTTGGGTTTCGTTTTGATGTTTGTTTTATTGTATTGGTTATACCGACAATAATATATTATACTATTTTCGGTTACAAAGTATTATCGTAATTAAAAAATATAACACATTTGTCGAGTGTGTTCCCACCTCCAAATGATATCTAGAGTTACACAATCGAACTTCTGGTCGTTACAGGTCCCAAGTATAAATCAATTTTAAATAATAAACTAAAATATTAAACTTCGAAAACAAGTGAAAACAGTAAATTTTTAAAAATTTAAATCCTATTTTTTTTTAGAGAATAAGTGTGATAAAGAGCCATAGACATCTACATCTATGCTCAATTAAGAATTAAAATTCAGAAACAGCAAGATTATCACAACACAACCTTACCCGAATACCAATAAATTGTGTTTAAATCGACAAATTACATTTAATAGACGGCAGTACTCTGTCTTTTGTCTTGTTTTTTATTACATAACTAAGATGTTCTTCGTATTTTGGTAAAAATAATTATTTTAATAAGTGAAGTTGAAGTTATTAAGCAAATTAGTTGAAGTATATGTTGAGTTTATTTTTTGGTCCTTCGAGTGGGATATAAAAAATACCAAGACGTTGTTGGGCCTCACGGCTATACCTCGGCAACACTTTCTGAAATACATTTCAATTGTAGAAGTTAAGTCTATGATTAATGATTTACTAAATGTTTTTTTTTTTGTTATTGAGGTCAGTATTGGTCATAAAAAGTATTTTTATTGATGCGTTTTATTTCTTAATTAATATAACTGAGGATAGATGTAGGATAGACATCTATGAGCATAAGTGTCCTTTAACTATCAGGTGGACTGTGCACTCATTGTCAACCTTAGTTCTTAAAAAAATTATCATATAGTTTCTTATAGTTAAGTATTAGTGTCAATCTAGTGTGCAAAATAGGAATACTAGCGCTATCCTTAGACCATGGCGACCAGCTAGACTACCTCATTCAAATTCAAAATGTAAAGTATGGAATGTGACAACAAATGGCAAATGTAACGGAAATTGTGGCGCCGCGGCTGAAAAAGTTCTTTAATGAGGACTCTTCTTAAACCATAGTTAAACTAAACCATACTTAAACTATGATTTAAGCATGAAACTATCAATGAACCACTTTTTGTAATAATACTAATAATAGATTCAATTATTCCATTAGGCCGGTTATAAACAAATAAAAGACAGTAACACTCCTTTCCTTTACCTTACTTACTTTACTATCCGATGCAATACTTAGAATCTACACTCTGTCTGTCTGTCTGTCTCTGTCTATTTCTCTATCTCTTTATCTATCTTTCTATCTATCTCTCTATCTACCTCTCCATATATCTCTCTCTATCTCTCCAAATGTCTCTCTCTATCTCTCTCTCTATCTATCACACTGTTTCCCTTTCTCCTTTTAATAAACTTAAAGGAACGAACGTTTGTTGAATATACGAACCAAGAATTAGTAGAAAAAATATTAAAGAGCGATACTGATACTTTGCGGGAAGGGGTATCCGGGGGGCGGTGCACACGCGAACGGGTACGGGAAACTGTACGGGTTCGCCACGCCGTACATCCCTGGAACTAAAAAAGACGACTCTAAAATGTACATTCTTATTTTATTTATTGAAAAAGATAAATAAAGTTTCAAGCTTTTAAAGAAATTTGTTGTTTTATATTCTTCTCAGAAATGAGACGTGGCCAGTGCACAACAGTGGGAAAAATATACGACAACCGTAGGAAGTATACAGGCTGTATCTTTTTTACTTTTTTGAGACGATTAAGTTTTTTTTTTACCATGTAGTAGCAACGTAATAAAATCTACTATATCATATCGTCCAATGGGTGTCGTAAGATGAGACAGAGGAACTGAAACAGGAGATAAGCAGCAGCATATTTCCTGTAACAACTCAATAATAATAATAAACTAGTTGCCTGCCCACCTACCAATTATGGCAACTACAGTACCCGGCGATAAATATTGCAAATCGACCTTTGGAAAGAGACAATCAGCTAATTTCGGCTTAGTAGAGCATTATCTCTGTCGCACACTACCTACGTGACGTTTTGACGTTCGACCTTATAGATAACGGACTGTTTGTATTTCGTACGACAGAGATAACGCTCTACGAAGCCGAAATTAGCTGATTGCCTCTTTCCAAAGGTCGATGTGCAACATTTATCGCCGGGTACTGTATATTCAACAACCAATAGAATTCTAGATTAACTGCAAACTGAAACAATTACCTGGTGGTTTATTGTAATCGAATTCCCTCTCGGGTGTGGCGAGTTTCTCGATCTTGACTCTCTTCTTCGTTCGCTCGTCATCTGATGACAGGGAGCTGATAGGCGACTCGTGTCTAGTTTTCTTAGTTTCCAATGCCGACCGGATTACTATGCGCCCTGAAAATTATTCATTTGAAATCATTATTAAGATCCATTCGGTCTTTAACCTAAGGGCACGTGAAGCACTGCTGAACCTATGCCCTTAAATATTTATTTTTAAGCCCCCACACTAGGATTTTGTCACGTAACGTCGTAACGTTTTATATACATATAAATCGCACACAAAACGGGAGAAATTCCCAGTGTGGTAACATTATGTTAAAACCAAATATTTTTACTCAAAATTGGCTTATGCAAATTTAAAAAAAAAACACTGAAAAAAGAGAAAGAACAAAAAGGCAATCAATTATGTGATTCGCTAATATTGTAAGTTTAAATCATCTCCACTAGATAATAAATGACAATAAAGAGCGACTTTATGCATTCACTAGTTTTTTTTTTATTGTAACTGATGTTTAAGGGTAACAAAAACGATAGTTCTAAAAAGATGTTTAAAAAATGATAAGAGATTAAAATAATCTAAACATATCGCACCTTCGGTGCAACAAAGTCACAAGTAGCCAAAATTGCAAAATTGAGTTAAGTATGCCAAATTTTCTTTAAACCATGCCTTCGTGTGGGGAAACAAAGACACCCGCGAAAGTATCTCAAAATGCTACTAGATGGCGCGAGTGCCTTTGTGGTTATTGGTGCTTTTTCCGTGATTTTTGGGCCTACAAAGTCTGATTGGTCAGTAGTGCCACCGCTCTCGCGAGAGTTTGACGTGTCTTGGAACTACAGTCACTTAAAGGTATTTATGACCGTTTTTATTCTGTTTTATTGGAGCAACAAAGACTCATCTATTTGTAAGAGTTCAATTATTTCTTGTTATAAACAAAAAGTTTGGAGCAACAAAGTCATTAATTATAAAATTGTTTTGTTGGCCCAACATTATAATTTTCAACTAAACTAATTGGCACTACAAAGTCCTAAATTAAAAAGTGTTTTTGTAGGTCCAATTTTTTCTTTGACTATACTAATTGGAACTACAAAGTTAATAACAAAAAAGTGTTTTTAGGTCCATTAATATTACGCTTTAGACGAAGAATTTGGAACTATAAATCTGTAAACAATAAAAATGTTTTGTCATCATCATCATAATCATTACAGCCCTTCACAACTCCACTGCTGAACATAGGCCTCCCCCAAGTAATGCAAAAAAGCACGGTCCTGAGCCACCTGCATCCATCGACTTCCTGCATGTCTTACCAGGTCGTCACTCCATCTAGTGGGGGGTCGCCCTACACTACGCCTACCGGTACGAAGCTGCCACTCGAGAACCTTTCTTCCCCATCGGTTATCGGTTCTTCGAGCTATATGGCCGGCCCATTGCCACTTCAGCTTACTAATCCGTTGGGCTATGTCGGTCACTCTGGTTTTACTGCGGATATCCTCATTTCTGAGTCTGTCACGCAGTGAAACTCCGAGCATAGCCCTTTCCATAGCTCGCTGAGCGACCTTGAGCGTCCTCATACGGCCAGCGGTGAAGGACCACGTCTCAAATCCATAAGTCACACTGGCAACACGCACTGGTTATACACTTTAGTTTTCAGAGATTGAGGTATACCTGACGAGAAGATGTGTCGTAATTTCCCGAACGCTGCCCAGCCGAGTTGAATCCGTCGATTGACCTCTCGGTCGAAGTTGGACTTACCTAGTCGGACTATTTGTCCCAGGTAAACGTACTCGTCAACAACTTCGAGCATAGTGCTCCCAACAACTACCGGCATAGGTGTGACATGGACATTAAACATGATCTTTGTTTTGTCCATGTTCATCTTAAGACCTATCCGTTGGGAGACACCATTGAGGTCATTGAGCATAGTGCTAAGGTCCTCCAGCGATTCTGCCATAAGGACTATATCGTCGGCAAATCCAAGGTGAGTGATGTACTCGCCATTGATGTTAATACCGTATCCTTTCCAGTCCAGTAGCTTGAAAACGTCTTCCAACGCAGCGGTGAAGAGTTTCGGGGATATAACATCACCCTGTCTTACACCTCTCTGCAGTTGGATAGGTTTCATACTCTGGTTCTGTACTCGGATAGCCATCGTAGCCCTACTGTACAAACACTTCAGCACTTCAATATACCGACAGTCAGTACTAGGCACCGCTGAAGAGACTGTAGCACCGCCCAAATTTCGACGGAATCAAAGGCTTTCTCATAGTCCACATACGCCAGGCAAAGTGGCAGATTGTACTCTTCGGACTTCTGTACAATTTGCCGAAGGGTATGTATGTGGTCTATGGTACTGAAGCCTTTTCGGAAACCGGCTTGTTCGGGAGGCTGGAAGTCGTCGAGTCTGCGTGCGAGACGATTCGTAATGACTCCCGAAAACAGCACGAAGACGCGGCTTAGAAGGGAAATCGGTCTGTAGTTGTTCAAGAGAGCGTTGTCGCCGTTCTTAAAGAACAAAACCACCGCGCTTCTGCTCCACGCCTCCGGAGTAGTGCCACCATGGAGGACGGAATTGAAGAGCTTCTGAAGGACTTCAAGTACCGGTGTTCCACCCGCTTTCAGAAGCTCCGCTGTAATTCCATCCTCGCCCGGGGCCTTGCCGTTTTTAAGGTGGTGGAGAGCCATTCTAATCTCGCTCAGACTGACGTCCGGGATATCATCGGAATAGTGTCGGATAAGACTTGCTCTTGGATCGTTACTCACACTTGCGTGTGGCTCCAACGATGATGTGTACAGCTGCCCATAGAACCTCTCAATCTCACTCAGTAATCTCAGGTGTCCCGGTAACGATGTTGCCACACTCAGTCTTCAGCCTTGACAGTTGGCTCTTTCTGGCAGACAGATCTCTGGCAAAGACTTTGGAGCCCTGGTTCCGCTCGATCGCTTCTTTAATACGAGCAGTATTAAAGTTGCGTAAGTCTCGCCGCATGCATTTGGAGATCTGTCTGTTCAGTTGCCTGTATGCTGTCAAATCTGTTGACGATTGCAGCCTCATCTCCCGTCTAACAGCCATGAGATTAAGAGTGTGATCGAAGAGTTTTTGTGTTCTTCTGCGGCGGGTGTTGCAGAACTTAGCTCCGACCGCATGGACAGTTTCCACGAGCTTGTCATTCATATCGTCCACTGCATTGCAATCCTCTAGGCACTGAAAGCGGTTTTGTAACTCGAGCTGAAAGGTTTCGGGATTCTGGATTAGAGCATGAGGGGGACGGAGCGTTGACTTCATTAGACGAGACCTCTCCAACTTAACATTTAGGTTCAGTGTGCCTCTAACCATTCGGTGATCGCTGCCAGTTTTCACCCTTGCGATCACTGAGACATCACTGAACAGTTGGCGTCTGGTCGTCATAATGAAGTCAATCTCATTTTTTGTCGAACCGTCGGGGCTCGACCAGGTCCACTTCCTGTGGGGCCGCTTCTGGAATGTTTCTGGAATGAAAATGTTTTGTAGATCCAGTATTATTATTTATTACAGGATAATAAAAAGACTTGGAACTGTTTAGTTCCAAATGTTTTCGGCAATCCCATGACCGATTTGGCTCGTTACACTTAAAAATTCTTTTTATTACCTAAATATTATTTTAAGACGAGCACGCTTTGGGGCACCCCACTAAAATTATTAATTTATCTTTACGGAGGCTGTTTGATGACTTTAATTAGTGATGAAACTAACTATTTAGTTTCTTATTTTTCTCGATGTCTGTAAGTGGTGGTATACTCTTATTTCTCACTTCAGAGGTCTTCGATTCGATTTCAGATGAATCTGACTTACAAATATCTTTAATAAAATCAATTTTATTTCAGAGAACAATGGGTTCCCGCAGTAAAAAAATTATGTCTATGGTTAAGACTCAACAAAATAATTCCATAAAAAACAAAGCATTAGTTAAAACCTGGTTAGCGAACTTTCATACAGAAGATCAGGACTATAATCATGACTACAATTTAGGAACCTCTCATTCTTCAATAAATAATATCTCCAGTACTTCAGATGGAAGAAAAATGGATCATTCAGATACTGACGACTATAAAAAATGTAATCATGCCAACAATTCGGACACAGTTTAAATCGACGAAGTAAAAATTAATTCCATGTTACAAAATATCGTTACGGGTAATATGGCAAGAAAGGATATTGAAAATGTGGCTTTTACTACAGATAGTAAAAAATGTAATCATTCAAATGATGGGGTTTCTTCCAGTGTAATTGCGTGCGTTTGGCAGAAAAAAGCGCTAGCAAGCGCTTGTAAGCAAAATGGCGATCGTAAGCGGTAAGCGCTATCAAATCGTAAGTAGCTATTTTCCTCTAGGACACGATGTTAGTTTTAACCAAGGAACCTAACCTAATTTAAATATATATTTGTAAAGTATTCATATTAAAAACTTACTAATCATGAATTTTTAATAACATGTATATGTTTATTCATGTCATTATATTACTTAAAACTAATATTGCACGAAACAACTCATAAACTCTACTTCAAAACAAACAAATTAAATAAGCAAAATGGCGGATTGTGTCAGCGCTACTGAAGTAGCAATCGTGTCCTGGCCGAAAACTATTTCAGCGCTTGTAAGCGCTTGCTAGCGCTTTTTTCTGCCAAACGCACCCATTGATTTAGAGCCACAAAACACTTTACCAAAAGAGGAGCTAATGCAAGACACCTTCTCGAATTTTTTCGATTTTTCCGCGACTGATTGATCTGAATATGAACCAACAAAAAAAAGTGTCCAAGAAAAATACTTTTACAGTCAGCCCGAAGTACACCTAGCTCTGGCAGTAGTTCCTCGAGCTCAAGTAGTAGTTCACCCAGCTCTGGCAATAGTTCTAGCCACTCCGGATCTACATCTTGCTCCAAAAATGTTTCTAATGTATCAATTATACATAATAATGCAGCCTCTGAGACTATTCAAGGAAGTACTGAACAGGCTAGTACTGTACCAAAGTCTAAAAAAAGGACCATAAATCCTAGTCAATGGAAAAAACAACAGAGAAAGTATCTAAAAATACTGCCGCAAAAATACATTCGTCCACCTTGTGTAAATACTTGCCGATTGT